CTAAATATGCTAACTCGAATTACAATGAATATTACACAAGCGAAAGTTAAAATAAACAATAAACTAAGTGCAAAATTTGAATTTAATGCTGGAGTTAAGCAAGGGGATGGTTTATCAGCAGTACAATTCATAGTACATACATAGCCTCACTTTAAGCCACTTTATTCCAGTTACATTTTCACAACATGTTCCTCTACCGACTCTACTCTTGCTCTTAACTTCCCATTTTCCCTAACCTAAACTGATACCTACTTGTTACCTCCGCTATCGTGCATAGGTGTCCAGGATTGTCTTGATCTCTCTCACTTAATTATCCGATGAATACTAGGAGAAACCTATTAATCACGACTTAAGTTATATCCTTGATTCTTCATTTGAATAATTCCTTGTCTTTCTTTAATGCCTGTAATTCATGCATTTGCCTGAGAGAAAGATATCAAACATTTCTCAACCACATAAGATGGGCAACTGTAAAGCTATCCCCGTGACAAGCTGTGGAGGCCCATAGTGTTCTGAGACGTCGAGGCTCCCACATTTTCTAGACAATCGGTTCACAGATTGTGGTGAGGTTATCAGCTTTACGTGCCGGCCGCCCTTTACCCACAGGAAGATCACTGGTACTTAATTGTATTAGAGGCTGGGTCGACTCCAGGGCTATAGTGTGGCTGGAAAGATTAGGTAAACTGGAAAAAATCCAATGACTTAATCGGAAATCGATTCCGAGACCTTCAGGCTTGTAGCACAGTGCCTCAAGCAACTACGATACGGCGTGCCCCAGACAAAATGGACAAAATACTCTTAATATCATGGCGATATCCACGACATTAATGATGATGACTGCTTCGTCAGTAAAATCCGAAGCCAGAACAAGTAAAGTAATGACTAATCTGGAACACCGATATTTTAATATATCTGTCTCTCCATCACGCTACCCTCCCAGAGTATTATGTACCAACGTCACATGTTCTGCAGCCTCCAATTGTGGACCATTTAAAGTCCCCCCCCCATTCATCTAATCGCATTGTAGCCACCCCTCATCCCGGTTATGTATGATTGTACACACTTGAGGTCAGCTAGTTAAATACCCGTGACATACAACAGGTGCACACGATCAGGCTGAAACACGAGGGGTAGGTATTCATAAAGTTCATGGGGAACGGCTTCAAATAAAGGGGCACGCGAGAAGAAACGTATCGTTCTAGAAGGTGGTATACCTGTATCATAGAAATATAAGGTGGTCAGAGCAACGTTGATATGTAGGTGTCTTAACTATGCCAGTGATCTCTAAGTTTTTTCCCTCTGAGCCTTGGAAGTAGGTGAAAAATTCTGCGGATAAATTTCTCTTTTAATTGATTTGGTACTCAACTTACAATTCAAAATCCTGGTTACGTTCCCAGCTAATTATAGAGGCCCGAGTAGTGATTCAAGAGCGTTTAAGTGATTCGGATTATCAAACAGTTCAGTCTAGTGCATACTGTCACGTAGTGTGTGTGTGACTATAGACGGTGTTTGGATTGGTGAATAGACCTACGGGTCATAATTAGAAATAACTATAACACTATCTCTATTTCCACAATTTATATTTCATTACAGCACACAGTCTAGTGTTCTTAGTTTGTTACTAGTAATTTCCTAGCAACGGTTCCAACAAGGGTTATTCCTCTACCTCAAGCTGAAGTCCTCTCTTCACAGACTCCCAGCTATCAACTGAAAACTGATTAAGCTCTAATCTTGTTCCTTGCTTATAATATCTCGACACGGATCACATAGAAAACACAGATCTTAAATCGTTGTAGTACAACTGTCTCATTATTAAGAATCTGCTGCGTAGCAAAGGGAACGTGTTTACTGATTCGTTACCCAGGAACGATCCATTTCGCGGTCGTTGCATAGCAACGGCTATACACGCTACAATGTCTTCACAAGGTATTCCTCAAGATCCATTTTAATATTATCTATCCATCTAAGTTTGCGTCCCCATATTGTTTCCTCGAGTGAATTTTATAATAAAATTTTGTTGTGTATTTATTTCCTTTATATGCTGACACGACTAATGCTATTATGGCAGCGAAGATTAATATTGTAAATGTTCTAGTTTATGATGCCAGGCAGTCGGGCAGTCGGGCACTAACGTTTCGGAGGAATATTACAGTGTAGTCGGGTAAATGTGTACCAAGGTTTCGGAAGGGCCGCGCCATAGCTCAAGCGGTTAGTTGCTGGCTTCCCACCGCGGCTGCCCGGGTTCGATCCCGAGTCTGATCAAGTGGGATTTGTGGTGGACAAAGTGGCGCTGGGGCAGATTTTCTCCAAGTACTTCGGTTTCCCCTGCCAATCTTCATTCCACCAATTGCTCAAAAATGACATCAAAATGAAGTGTGCAAAATACTGTGTGATAACAATTATGTTCAAGCTCTTCAGAAATCAGTATAGCCTATTTGAGTGGCGGAAGTATAAAAATATCTCTGTTAAGGATAGAAAATCCGAAGTCAAAATACACGTGAGGCAGCATGTGACCAACAAAATACCAAAAAGACTGAATGACTGACTGATTGATTACACGCGACCGGCACGCGACTAGCGGACAAATCTAAATCTCAAGTCTGCAAGGGCACATCAGTGCATATGTTAATATACAATACGTCCTTACGCTTCCATTACAACAAAAGGACAGGGGGGCAGGATGCGCGCTAGGGCGGTGACAACCTGGCTGAAAAGAGGGTGAGGAAAGAAGTACAGACAGAGGTCTGTTCTACAAGCAACCGCGTAGGGTCAACCGCAGTGAATGTGTTAACATTTTGGCAGTTAAGTGCAGTGTGTTATTTTTATTTCAGTTTATCTTTATGTCACTCATATCTTTTTAAATCAGATTCTTCTTTCCGAAGAGGCAGATAATGGTCAAAATCATAACTTTAATATCTTTCGCGAGAAAAGGGCGTCGAATTTGTTTCTTTGCTTTCAATAGTCCGACTAAATATCATCCAATGGTGGGATGACATTAATAATGAACTGAATAGAATGTGGAATGGAGCAGTCACTGTATAACTTCAAGTACTATCACAGTAACTTCTTGGAGGAACTGAAGAAAATCACTTAGGAAATTCGGTATTCCAGCCGAGATTACAACCAGATATCTCCTGACACAGGAGACAGAAACGTTACGGCTTAAGCCAAGTTGCTCAGTTGAATTTTAGTCAGTGACATGTTACCTACCTCTCTCCCACTTAATAACCAATATCTCTGTCCACAAGTTTCAGTGACGGCCATATCCCTCGGGCGCAATTTTCTTCTCACGCACAACAGGTTTGACACACCCTGTATATTACTATGGGAATTTCGGTGTAAAACTGAAATACAGTGCACGGAGTCACAGATTATTTTCGTTAAAATGTCAACGATATTTGAACGGCAATAATGAAGATGAGGCGCTTTCTGTGCAGTAAATTGTACTGTCTTGTGAAACATTGAATCATTTCCTTGGAAATCCTTCGCAACATGTGGATACAGATCCGATGCCTAGACGCAACATGTTTGGTTTATGACGTAATCCTACACAAGAGTGTCAGAATAGTGGTTTAATCTATTTTATAACCTCATTAAAACTTATATTGTAGATAACAGAAACGCACTAATAAAAGATAAGGTGGAACTTCATACGTGTTTTCGATTAAAATAATGCAGGATACGCATAATATTCGCCAAATAAAAATACAAATTGCGACATTTTACTATACTGTGAATTTATTTTTGACTTTCGATAGAATCCGCATTTTAAAAAGGATCATGGTGATATTTTTTGCACAAGATATAACATGAAGACTTCAAAACATTTCTCCTCTACTATTACGTATAGCCTATCGGACGTATTAATATACATTAAGAAGGAATTGTATCAGTTGTTCAATATTGGAAATGCGTTACATATTTGTCCATGTGCGTCTTCTTTATATTTTGCATTCCGAGATCATATTACTTTAATGAAGATACAAATCTCCTTTTTCAAAATTTTTTAAGCTGTCACTAATATTATGTCACCATATGGCACTGCTAGTAAGAAGTTCTTACATTTCTGCCATCAAATTTTGCGATAGTATGAAGACCAGAAGTGAGACTACTGAGCGCAAGATCCTAAAATTTGATTTTGTAATACACATCTAAAGATATGCTATTTCTGTTTGGATTATTACTGTCTTTTGTGCTATGTAAAACAACATGGCGGTTGTGCGAAATCTGCATTTAGAGTGACACGCACAAGGGAGCTGTGAAATGCACACGAAACTTTAATCTGAAGACTAACGGGAAGGGACGTATAGGAGAACAAAACAAAGCTGGGAGAATAATATTAAAATGGATATTACACAGGTAGAATGCGAGTGACAATTATTTTAATTAGCTCAGAATATGGCTCAGTGAAGGATTTTTGCGACCATGGTAGCGAAAATCGGCTCTCTAAAACGCAGGCATTTCTTAAAGACTGAGCGACTATCAGATTCTCAGTACAGACTATGCTTCATGGAGATACTTCCACTATCGTGTATCGGGTTACTATATAGGTTTAAATACTGATGTAGTTAACTTATTATGTACATTTTCTTTTTAAAATTTCATCTGAATTTTTATATTAACTTCACAAAATTCTCTCCTAATCAATACAAGCCATTACTTGTAACAAACTTCTCTTCTGAAGTTGTACAGATCAAGTTCGCAGAAACGTATCAGAGGACATTTTCAACATGAAAGAGCCTTACTGCCTCCAAGAGGCGTATGAGAGAATTCTGTATTTGATGCAGCTGACACCGTAACGTCTATTGTGACACAACAGGATTTTTGGTTGGAGGGGTGTTGACTAGGACCCCTCCCCTTATCAGTCAGGATGATATAGGAAGGGGGTGGTAGTTCCACAAGAAACTGAGATTTACCTCATCCTGATGCACTTGCAACTCCATCCCTCTAACAGTTATTTTCGGTCTACATATATTTAATAAAGGGGAGGCGTATATGATATGGGACTTGTTAAGGGGTGCAAGGTGGGTTGAATTAATGGAGGGGAGTTGTTGAAGAGGGTGGATCTTGTACCCATGGTCATGTATCCTATAATATATAATGAGAAGTAAATGGTGATTGATACCACAGTATCAGCGTGGCTTTAGGGCTGGGTGTGTGGTGCTCGCAGTAGTAAATGTATCAGCATAAACATTACTTATAAGTGAGTGATAATTTTTTTAAGAATTGTGTTTAGCAAATCATTGATGTCTCTTCATTTCACAATCTAGTTTCTTGACATGACTTCCCAAAGTCACTTAGATCTTAGAGAACCATAAAGCACCCGATAAAAATTAATGTCTGTTTGCAACTTATAAAACAATTAATTTCTAGCAATATGTATCCTGTAACATCACATCATTTACTGAAACCTGCATCAGAGGAGACGTCTTCAGTTAAATCATTGCTCGGTTTATCAAACAAAAATATTAAACAAAGTCCGGTTAGAACTGCGACGACACTAACAACAAAACAAGCCGAGTCGGCAACAAAAGTAATTGCTGTTACCGATATTCCGCGAGGAACCTGCTCAGAAGACATCAGCGTAGCACAGCTGACTCAAGACGAAACTTCGCTTCCTCAGAATGTAAGTACCTGTTATGTGTACTCTTCTTATGCCTTTCTTATTAGGCCCTCTGGCCTGTTTCCCATCAGAGTTAATCTGGAATTAGGCCGCACCATAGCTCATAGGTTAGTCGCTGGCTTCCAACCGCGGCGGCCCGGGTTCAATCCCGGGTCTGGTCAAGTGGGATTTGTGACGGAAAAAGGGGTGCTGGGTCGGGTTTTCCCACTAAGCGAATTTTTTACTCGTATTTATCATCTCCTCCTTCGTGCTACATGTCTCATTTATCTCATCTTCCTTTACTTGACATCCATAATAGAATTTCTTGAAGAGGAAGAATTATGAATTTTTCAGAATGTAATGTTCTCCATCTTTCTAATATTTCCTCCTTCGTAAGTCCAAATATTATCCTCAACGCTTTGGTCTCAACCCTCTCCTTATCTAAACTTGTCCCTTAATGTGAGAGAACGTGTTTTATGCCCTACAAAATAACAGGCTGCCTAGCTCCATAAAAATCGGCCAAATTCACAGAAATATTAGGAAACACAACATGGACTCGCAGTTGTCCCTAAAGGCTTACTTCCTTTTCAGATACCAAGAAAGAAGATGAAGCCTTTACAAGTCACTATTATTAATTACTGTATGTCTAAAAACGTTTTTGAGGGGATGGCATACCCTAAGTATGCGTTAAGACAGTTNATAGCAGGAAAGAAGATGAAGCCTTTACAAGTCACTATTATTAATTTCTGTACGTCTAAAACGTCTTTGAGGGGATGACATACCCTAAGTATGCTTTAAGACAGGTTTCCATCTCAGCTTAGATTTGAAGAATACAATTTCAAGACAAAATATTCCCCAACTACTGATACAAGCATAGCTGTGATTCTTCGCTTATTTATTGAAGCTAATTCGTTAACTAGCATACTAAACTGGAAACATAAGCAGGGATAGCTCACTCAGTATAATGATGGGCTACGAGCTAGGTAGCTAGGGTTCGATTCGCGGCAGGGGCAAAGTATTTTTCTTTACTCCACAGGGTCCAGGCCGGCTCTCAAGCTCACCCAGCCTCCTTTCCAATGCGCACCGCGCTTTATTTCTCCTGGGGCAAAGAGGGCAGTGGCGTGAAGCTGCCCACTCACCTCTGTCTAGTACCGAGGTCAAGAAAGCTGGAGCTATACCTCTTCTCTCCCATACGTCTTTATGGCGTGGTGCCTACATAATTGAGCACAGAGACAAATTTATCTTTTTACTAAACTAGAATTTGGACGTGTTCTATTAGGTTAAGTTATACATATATTATTTCGGAGAGACTGAGGAAAATACGAAGAGTCGTCCTCGACCGATGTTCGAACTAGGATGTGTAGAAATAAAAGTTCATTGCTGACGTTTGTGTGCAGACATCAACACTGAACACTGATGCCTATCTGTTGCTGCAGATTGCTGTGTGTGTCTCGGAGGAGGGTAAATTGAGAGCCACGGCCTGCGATAGCAGGTGGGTGCTGGAAGCAAGGCTGGCAGACGACTGCCACAGCTACAACGTGGTGCTTCAGAGAGGTGGTGCTAGTAACACCGTGATACTGCACGTGGTGAGGACCATCAGAAGAGGAGAAGAGCTGCAGCTTTGGTTCTCGGAGCAAATGCTGGTAGCTCTGGCTGTGCCCTTCCTCACACCGCTCAACATACAAGGTAAAATAGAACTGTCTCTGTCCCACTATGTTTGAGACACGATGTAAATAAATTGAAGGTGAAGAAAACAGTCTTCTGGAATGTGGCGCCGTGTAGATATTGTGTTAACCGATGTTTCGGAGGAACGTATCGCCTGTGCTCTGTGAGCACTTGCTCGCGCCGGTTTCTCGCTTGCAGAGTTTCTTCTTTTTTCTTCTACCCTGAAGATGGAGGCGATACGTTCCTCAGAAACGTCGGTTAACACAATATATACACGGTGCCACATACCAGAAGACTCCTTTCTTCATCGTCACCGCCGTGAAAACCTCAAATCTTACAAACTGAAGGTGGACAGTAATTCAGATATAACACAAGAGTGTACCCACTAAACAAAAAATTCCACCCTTACAAATATGTGAAAATTTGACTTTAAGGTCGAAAATTTACCTTCGATTAGTAACCATTTTTATTGCGCTGTCATTTAAAACACCTCTGGTGTTCAAATTATTCAATTATTTTGAATTCATCTTGTACGTTTGTGTCCTAGGAATATCTAATACCTTCCACATCGAAGCGAGGAGCTATTTACAACCATAATCGAATATATTTGCTTTGTCACTTGAAATTAAATTACGGTATTCACTGAAATGTGGATTCGATGACGTTACCGCCTTAATTACTTGCTATAACACTTAAGTAACTACATAGAGCGTTTCAACTGCCCAATATTTGGGGGGCTGATGAAGTGTTTCTGTGTCTACTGTGATCATGCCATTGGATATTGTCTGAGTCTCTTACAGTTTCGTAACTGGCACTCGGGGGGCTGTTAGGCAGCATAACGTAAATTCTAGTCTACTGAGACAAATCCGATTCGGACCTGAGATGCCAAATCAATTCATTTCTGCTATTCATCTTCGTTCAGAAGTGTCACTCTTAAGCGCTGGCTGGACGACCGAAGAATCTGCGCTTGATTGCCAGTAGGAGAAGGAAATTTTTCTCTTCTCCATAGCACCCATACCAGCTCCGAGGCTCACTCAACCTTCTGTGCAACGGGTACCGTTGGCTGTTCCCCCGGAGGAAAAGCACCAAGGGAGTGAAGCTGACCGCTCACGTCCATCTAGCGCCGAAGTTAATCATGGCGAGATTATATCGCCAGACTCCCACATATCTTTATCGCTCTCTGCTTAACTAATTAATGAGAGGTATAACCATACCTTTAGTCTTAAGTTTCTCCGCATTTTCGCCGGGTTGTTATATTAAGACTTTCGTATGGATTAAGCCCATATAGATAGGTTATGTGTAAGCGGCCTCCGTAGTCTAGGGGTAACATTCCCACCTCATGACTCAAGGTACGCGGGTTCAAACCCGGCGGAGCAAACATTCACGGAACAAGTCCTCCGGGAGGGACTTTAAGCCGTGGGTCCCGTGTCGTAGATTTAAGGCACGTAAAATAACCTCATGTATCTAGGAGACCTCTGAACAAAATTATTAGGTAAAAGCTTTCCCGCCCAAGTAGTTNTACCGAATCCACTCAAAATTCATCTAGCACTTGACTGCGGCCGCTTACACAAATTTCATTTATGGAAACGTCTGAGACGCCATTTCTCAAATAAACAAGAAGACAACAGCACAAGAGATCAACATAGAGCATCTAGCGACCCTATTCAGAGCATTTCATCTTTAGCCCACACCACAACATACACTCCTCCAACATTCGGGTTCAAATTCGAGTTAGTCTCAAAAGACGATAGGACTAACTATTCAAATCTCTCAGGCCCACAGGATCTATCTGCCACGACTAACACAGTTCGTGTTCCCAACACTGCAACATCCTCGTCTGTTGTCAAGAATGAAGAGCTACAGAGTGTTCCAAATGAAGAAAGCCCCAACGTTAGACAGAGCACCAGATCAATTTCGGAGCCATTAAATATCCGAGGTTCAGCATTCAAACCGTACTGGAGTAAAAGGATAGATTCCTCAAGTACTGACAGCATCAGGACAAGCAGTGGAAGTGAGAGGAGTACGTCTGTGAATATTCTTCCTACTTCAAGATCCCCCCTTCTCTCGCAACCTCGTTTCTTCTTTCACCCACCATCACATCTCAGTGGAACGAGCTTGCAAAGGCAAAAATCATCTTCCATTACGGGACTTATCAGCGCGAATTCTCTCTTAGTGCCAAGAAGTTATAATAAACAGGATGTCCTGCCTCCCAGTAACTTCCAACAACAGTCTTCCATAGCTACGACGGCTGGCTTCAGCCATGCTGCAGAAATGGAGACGCTTGTCAGCAACCTTGGAAGATCAAAAAAAGGACATCTTTGTATCTACTGCGGCAAAATTTATTCTAGAAAATATGGACTCAAAATACATATCAGGTAAATTTTAATTAATTTATGTCTTGTCAGAACAGTACATGAAAAACCTCCAGACACGTGATGGATTGCCATTTTTTCAAGTTAGTAAGATGTTGGTTGACAAGTTTATGGGAAGGGAAGCGGAAGCTTCAGAGGTCCACAGGATGCGGAAATCAGAAAGCAGACATGATGAACACTAAGGGGGAGAGCAGATGTCTTTACACGATGACGGCTTGCAGACGTTAGAAGTTTCTGACTTCACATGCGTAAACTGAGCGAGATTGTGTAGAGGTAAAACTTCAGGCTTGTATTCGGGAAGTGATCGGTTCGAATCCATATCGGAGCAGCGGTTATCCTTAGACAGCTTTTCTACAATTTCCCTCAATCCCGCGAGGCAAATACCGGGGACAGTATCTCAATTAAGCTACGACAGCTTCTTTCCCAAATATTTCCATTTCATTGTTCACGAACCATCATTCCATACGACGCCATACGGTATTAGATGCTGATGGCGTCATAAAGGGGACCATAAAAAATACATTCACATAGGTGCGATTATGTAAAAAAAAAAGAAACTATATGTATATTAAGAGATTATTATCTTTATTATCAGCTTTAAGCCATGGCCTCCTTTTACATTCGAGGGAAAGGAACTATGATTTAGTTTTATTATATAAATTCATTAATCTAAAAGGTTTTACTAAACTAGCTTTCGTTGAAATTACATATATTAAGGGAATCTGAAATGAAACAGACTTCACTCAGGAATTTTTAATGACAGGATGTACCCGTTCTTCATCAGGTTTTTTATTTCTATCAGCTGTAACTTTTCTTTATTTAAATTAAATATATCTACCCCAACTCTACTGATATATCGCTCAGAATCTTTACCGTGAATATATTTACCCAAAATGAAATGTATTAAAATTTATATGCAGAACTGAATTAGACACATTAGCTTCTGATCTATGCTGATGACGTCAGTTTATTAGGCGTAAAAGTAAATACTGTGCAGAGAAGCACAGAGGAACTATTAGACACTGAGATGAGTTGAATGGAACCACGTAGTAAAAAGGGACAGATGTTAATAGAAAACTCTGGTGGAATAACTGGAAAGGAAGACCTAGGCGTAGATGAAAGAATAACTTTATAATCGATCTTAAAGGAATAAACTGGAAGTGTGTGAAATGGATTCATCTGGCGCATGATAGAGATAAGTGGCAGACTCTTATAAAAACGGCAACTGAAATATGGGTTAAATAAAAAGAGGGCCCGGGGTAATTGTTTTGTTTTCAAAGCGGTCCGTGTCGTATCAAAGTAGGTGATTAGTTCTTCACGCTACTTTTTATATATTTTCGTTCCTGAGAGACACTGTAATATCATCTTTTACAGGACACACACGGGCTACAAGCCACTGAAATGCAAGTTCTGCCTCCGTCCCTTCGGAGACCCTAGCAATCTCAACAAACACGTCCGGCTGCATGCGGAGGGTGACACCCCTTACAAGTAAGCAAAGCAATCTTAAAATTTCAGGGATTTTGAAAATAGCAATTGCATTTATTACAGCCAACTTCGTTCCAGCAAGAGCAGTTAACATAAATACAAATTTCAGTTTCATCAGCTACAACAAAGTAAGATTACCGCACAAAACAAGGACTTGCTAGCATAATTCATAAAGTGTGTACTTCCAGTCATACAAAACTTGATGTTAATATCACATTTAGGTAAGCAAATTTTTAGTCTAACTCCGTCTTGGACTACCGTGCCTGAACTGGTCATAGGGTCAAATTCTACTCGAATCAGAATTACATTATTGCTTGCAATTATAAATATGTAACATTATTATTATTATTATTCCTTATTTACATATTTAAAACCTAAATTATTTCCTGCTGCCATATTTTATACAAGCTATGCTTCTTCAAACCATTAAAATACTAATTCTAATCACTGTAAATCTATATATTTTACTTTTATCACTTCCTAATGATAATTTTGATTTTTTGTTAATGAAATAATAATAATTACATAAATTGTAAGATTTGAGGTTTTGGCGGCGGTGACTATGAAGAAAGCAGTCTTCTGGGATTTGGCACCGTGTATATGTGGTGTTAACCGACGTTTCGGAGGAACGTATCACCTCCATCTTCAGGGTAAGAGGAAAAATATAAGAAATCCGCAAGCGAAGAGACTGCTTTTACCGGTTCTCACGGTCTCTTCGCTTGCGGATTTCTTATATTTTTCCTTCTACTCTGAAGATGGAGGCGATACGTTCCTCCGAAACGTCGGTTAACACCACATATACACGGTGCCAAATCCCAGAAGACTGCTTTCTTCATTACATAAATTGTTTGGTTTTTGTATGTGCTTTGCAGTGTTTTTTTTTCTTCTTACTTACTCGTGCTTATTTTGTGATTGGTCTCTGGCCTATTAAGTTTAGACGAAAATAAAAATTTAACTGAATTGAATTACAGTGGGCCCTGGAACTTCGAACGGTTTGATGCTCGGAAACTTGAAACTGGAACAAATATTGGAGGAAAATGCGGGTTTGAAACAAGAACAAAAACTCGAAAGTGGAACAAAGAATTACGTGGTCGTCACGCCTTGTAGAGAAGTGGCGCCCCAATATCGCAGTTGTGAGCAGGAGTATCAACCTGTTTAATGGCAATGTAGTGCAAAATTTCACGAAAATAAAAAAAAAATAGACAAAACAAATGACATCTGATAGGTTTCTCTCCAAAGGGAACCCGAGTGATGGCAATGTTAATAAACTAGAGCTCTCAAACAGTGGATTCCAGATGCAAGAAAGGTAATTCACCTTTCAGTGAACAGTAACATCCCTCATACTATTATTATCCAGGGGCTATTCCCTGGGGATAACGCGGCCGGTGAGTGAAGTTAACCGCTTACGTCCAATTAGTACCTATGTCCACAAAATGTGGATCTATACATCCACTCCCCCGTAGCCTTCATGGGGTAGTGCTTAATTAGTTAAGCACAGGGACAACTTATTTTCATTGGCGCTACAGACCTCATTTGGGCCTAGGCTTACCTCCATGAAACTCTCCGTTTCACTTCGGTTTACTAGAACTTAGACATACGGTAGGACTCCTTGGGCGGGTGATCAGCTCGTCGAAAGGCCTCTACCTGTACACAAACACACAAAAACGCACACAAACATCCATGCCCTGAGTAGGATTCGAACACACGATCCCGGTTTCCAAGCGAGCGAAGACAGTGCATGCCTTAGACCGCTCGGCTACCGTGACCGGCAAGGACAACTTTACCTACCATTAAACCCCGAAATATCATATAAAAACAACCCACGTTCGCTTCCCTCACATCTTTTCCCAACTAAAATATAATCATATCCTGACCTTATTTGAGCTAATGAAAGCCTCTAAGAAATCACCGTGCAATCTTCATATTAAATATTTACACCCCTGCAGCCAAGTAACAACAGCATGGCTGTTTGTGTAACGGTATATGAGAATGTAATAGCAGGCTTAAGCCGCCTAAACGCGAGATTTTGGGACTCGAGTTCACTCCGGAAATGGAGCAACAATAAAACATCTGTCATTAGAGGTAACCAAGCCTATAGTTGCTTGAGGAAGGAGACGTATACATATACTCGGCAGCTGCACTTAGATGTCTTCTCTGTACAACTGTTCTGTTTTCAGATGCGACCTTTGTGGTAAGATCCTTGTGAGACGCAGAGACCTCGAGAGACATGTCAAATCCAGGCATTCTCCTCATCTCGATACGGAACAACATCAAGAAATTAATAAGAATAATTCCTCGTAGAACTCGCACAACAATTATAAGGGACAAACATATTTTTATCCTGTTTGTACGATATTACGTCCTGTCCGAGACACCTTACAGTGCAAGTACAAACACGTTGTAAAATATAGTTGTACTATAGAAAAATATGAAAATAAATAAACCATCTCAATTTTCCTTCATAGGCTTACAGAACGCTTATGGTAGGTTATCTAAATAACAGGTTATCTACCTTCTACCTCACATGGTCCGTCTCTAAACATATAGTTAGGAATGGAGAAACAAGAAAGGCAGGTAAGTTTTGTTACAAAAGTCAATCTTTTTGGAGACGATCAGTCCGAAATCGAAGACGGAGATATATTAAAACATACGCAGAGGCTACGATAATTGTGGCAAGAACCAGGGATTCAAAATGTAAAACAGCAGTTAATTGGGTCATGAAGTAAATCAGGCGAATGACCCCTAAAAAGGCACTTAAACGGTGGGAAACAAAGATAGGTAACATTGCAGTCACACCTCAGGCTACATGGCCCATTGCGAAATCTCTCCTAAAGAGGAATGGACCAAGGGCACTGGTTAGTTAGTTATTGGAGAGGGTGGGTTTCCCCATGCACTTAGACCAGTATTGGTCCATTGTGCTTCCATCTATGATATTCTACAAGTCTCTATACCCTACTGATATTGGTGCGTACCATCAGTCCCACCGAGCCAGCGAGTTCGGCCTCCACTGGCTTGGTGGTGTCTATAATGCTTCCCCCATCTATCAGAGGCATTAGAGACTACTGTTGGGCGGGAAACGTCCTTGAATTTGGCTCAGTGACCTCCTTTGGAGATATGAGGTTCTTTTACGTGCCGTAAAGCTACGACACGGGACACACGACTTAAAGTCCCTCCCGGAGGACTTGTTCCCTGAATTTTTCCGCCCTTAAAAATTCGACGACCTCCGCCGAGTTTCAACCCGCGTACAACGAGTCATGAGGTGGGAACGTTACCTCTAGACTATGGAGGCGGCTTACCAAGGGCACTAACTGCTATTCACCGTGCTTCAGGCTTTAAATTTCATCCATCCGAGAAAGCTAACGCAAATGCTGACTGTTTAGGAATTTAGTTCACACTACATCATCTGTCTGACGGAAACCATGAACGGCGGGTGGAGGCTAGAGTTCATGCTCTACTTGAAGACACAGACAACAGCCCCCTCACAGAATAAGACCATGTGACTTATAAAAATTAATAAATTCCTTGAAATTGAGAGAGACCTGTGGAATTGATGGCATTCCAAATGAGTGTCTCAGGCACCTTCCAAGGCGACCATTGGTATACTTGATACATTTATTCAATGATTGCCTTCTGCTGCCCATTATCTAATTCCTTGGAAGGAAGCAAAGGTAAGGACCCAAAATTCCCTCATAATTTACGTCCGATTACTCTCCTGTCCACAACAGGCAAATTATTCAAGAAAGTCGCCTGAAAATATTCCAAAAACACATTGGAGAAAGAAGCATGATTAATGCAGGCCAGTTTTGGTTTCCGTGCACGTCATAGCACGACACTGCAATGTATGAGGCTAACGGACCACGTGACCCTCAATTCCAACAATAAAATGCCTATGACTGCGGTCTTGGACATCGAAGAAGCCTTTGATACTACATGGTACTCGGGCCTGATATATAAGTTATCAAAATTTGAATTTTCGGCCAGCTTAATCAAGCTTATTGGATCTTTACTTTCACAAAGAAAATTAGGTGTTTCGGTTGAAGGCGAGATATCAACACCAAGGCAAATGCAAGCAGGAGTTCCACAAGGTACGATCCTGTCCCCTACTCTTTACAATATGTACATAAATGATGCCCCCTAAACACATGGCGTTCATTTAGCCCTATTTTGCAGATGACACCTGTCTGGATGCGACAGATCGCGAGGAGCGCGGTCTCACTCAGTGGAGACCTCGTGTGAGCGCTGGAATATCAAAATTAACGAAGATTAGACTCAGGGGATTTACGTCTCTCGCTGTCATCATCCGCCTGTGTCTCATCTTACACTGAATGGAAGAAATATTCCGTTTGTAATTAGTGCAAAATATCTCGGTGTAATCTTCGATAGGAGGGTTACATGGAGATTGTACATAGAAATGATCGAAGCAAAGGCCTTCAGAATATTTCTTAGATTGTATTCCCTATTTATGAGTGAGCGATCAAGCGCTAACATTAAACTGTCCTTCCACAGTGCTCTCATTCTATCTGTAATGATTTTTGCTAGTCCCGCCTGGGAATTTGCGGTAGACACCCATCTGATGTTATTGCAGCGCCTGCAAAACGAGTTTCTTAGCACCACTGGCAGTTTTCCAAGGTGCACACCGGTTCGCGATTTACATATGGCTTTCAAAATTCCGTACGTATATGATTATTTATTAAAATTACACTGGCAACAGGCAGAAGTCATACAAAATCATGATAACGAAAATAGTCGCAACATTGGACAAGGCGAAGCCCGGCACAGAAGTATAAGAGGCTTAAACTTGGAGGCGGTAAAGCATAAGACCTTCCAAGTGTCTTGTAGCGGAAGTTAGTAGAAATAGGGCATAATTTGCTGTACTGAGCCTTGACTGACAAAGGCCCTGTATATATTTTATATATATTTCTTAACATGTAAAATATAAATAACCTTTACATTATGAGAAATGACTTACTACTACAGACAATGACTCTCTCGTCAGAGTTGGCGCCCCACAAAAACAACACCGTAACTGCCAAACAATAATAAATATCTGGTTATGAGCCCCAGGTGGGACTCGACACCAAGACTAACTGACTGACTGACCGACCGTCAGTCGCAATACGACTTTGTCTTTGACTTTGAGCTTAGTTCTGTTCCCGTGTGGAGGCAGGGTCGAATTCCTCCACCACAGCCCTGCGAGTCGTAAGAGGCATTGAAAAGAAAAGCAATTGTAAACGACAGACTGGCCCTCTCGTCAGAGAGAGCCCCATATCAACAAACTCGCGTCTGTCTGACTAATAAAAATCTGTTCGTAGGCCCTAGATGGGTGCTTTATTCCAAGACGGACTCGCCGACTGGCCGTCGGTCGTAACATAAGACTCAGACTCAGAGCTTAGTTCGCCCTGTGGAGGCGGGCTCGAATACCTCCGCAGTAGCCCTGCGAGTACTAGAAGGCGAAGAAAAGTGAACACAGTGCCTAGGGGAATAACTGGGCCACCCTGATCCTGGAAGATTTAAATACGGGACCTGGCCTTCCAGGTTGGGGGAGTCTCGAATCTGAGATAGTAAAATATGGTCATGAAAGCCGCAGGACTCGGACCCAAGAATGACTGCGCTGGTGTAGGCCAGCAGCAATTGTAAACGAAAGACCCATCCTCTCGTCAGAGAGGATGTTACATAAGGACTATGGCCACAAGGGTTCAATTAAAACAAATCTCTAATCGTGATCCTCAAGGGGCTTGATGCCAAGATGAACTCATGGGCGCTAAACGGCCAGTCTTAATGTAACTGTGACTCTGACTCTTACTGTGAGCCTAGTTGGTTGATACACGCTCTGTGAAGAGAAGACTAGGAGGCTGGTATGAAATTGCTGCCAGCCTGGGAACTAGCCACTTGAAAGGCAGTTCTGTATAGGAGTCTGAAGAAAAGAGTTGATTGTAAGAGTGCTCAGTTGAAAAGTTCGGCTGAGAAGAGAAGAGTTCATGTGTCATATTTGGAGTGCGTAATTCAGTGAGACTGTCATAGTTCTTGTGTTAAAGTCCGTTGAGAGGAAACGGCTAGTGGAGATTGTAATAGACTGAGGACACTAATCTGTGTGCGTCAGTGATTTTTAAAGTGTAGTCGCGAGTCTTGAGTGTATAGATGGTCAATAAACTGAGTCAACAAACCAAACTCCGTCTTATGATCACTCTTAAACGTGACGATATCTGTAAGATTTGAGGCTTTCACGGCGGTGACTATGAAGAAAGTAGTCTTCTGGGATTTGGTGACGATATCTTTTCTAACGTTGGTGATCTTGCCAAACTAACGTTTTAAGCGTGTGAGAGAGGAGAAAACTAGTTATCTGCCAACAGAAAGAGAATATTAGTGGAAGCAGACACCGAAGGCCAGTATCTGATACAGCTCGAGTTATTTCAATCCAGTGTACGTATTTACTATGTTATGCTATCAGATACGGTTTAATATCATTCTCTTATATCCATTTTAGTCTTCAGAGTGTCTGCTTCCAAAGAGACTTTCCCACTAATGATACTTATTTCCTTGTTTCGCCCTTCGAAGTTACCTAAATTACTGCATAAACACAGTTACACAGTTAGAGTAGCAACGATATTCAGTGATGTTCAATGATATTCAAGTCGATATATCAGAGCTACCCAAATGCGGGAAATTTAAAGCCTATGCTCCCGACTGGCCTTGTCAGATCTACAGGATATTCCCGTAGGGAAGGTAGTTCAGCATCCATCAATTTTAATTTTCCTTGTTGGTCTTAAGATTATGAAAATTTAAGGCAAATTTGTCCCTGAGCTTCATTAATTAAGCATCATGCCATGAAGACATAAAGGGGAGTGGAAGTATAGCTCCACCCGTCTTGACCTCGCCACTAGATTGTAACCGATCATTACCGACCGGCTTAATTCTTAAATATTATTAACCACAATATAAAATTTAATTTCATTAATACTGAAGACTTAATGCCAATCTTGTGCTAAAGCTGACTTATACCCACTTTCTCTGTAACTATTCTGAGAATTCGTTTCACTAGTAGAGTGTGATCCAGTGACTTCTTCAAGGAACCCCCTCTGGTCGAAGCGAGGCCCCTGAGCGGAATCCTCATGCCCATACACATTCCCTTTTCCAGCCACATCACCCCTAATATTTTAACGTGGTTTTAAGATCACGTGGTGCTCAACGAAAGGACCAGGAGTGAGTAAGAAGAAGAGGAAAGTTAAAAGTAGCTTCATCAACGACGGCTACTCAACTCAACTTAAAAGGGAAGAGCGGTTAAAAGATGTAGGTGATTGGCCACCTTCACAGCCCGGTCGCTTTATCCCTGAAAGAGCCCCCGGTACCCATTAGATAGGAGGTTGAGTGGGCCTCAGAGTCGGTTTGGACGCTGTAGAAAAGAGAAGAGCGTTGCCCTGCCGGGAATCAAACCCAGGTAGGTCAGCCCGTAGCCCATCGTCATACCGATTGACCTATCTTTATGACGAAGGCTGTATATCTAAAATAATACAAATTATTACACACAGGCATGCAATGTCAAGGTTTTAAAATGAAAATGGATTTGAGGAAAACAGATTACTGTGTAAATATTTAGCTCTGAATCGTACCGCAAATGGTAATCTTATGAAGATAGTGTCATAAATTCAATCAAATACATTTTCCATACGCACATGCTTTATTCCAAAGCAACAAAACAGATTTTATGGTAACAAGTCTGGCGCACTTAAAAAAATGTAGTGACTTTTCTTGATTGATTTCTCAGAGTAATTTAGTAAATAAAATCCACAAGTATTTTCGTCGGCTTGGGGTCACTGAAGTTCTAAGTTAAGAAGGGACACTTTCGTCCTTATTTTAGGTACAGACTCTACGAAGTTTGAGTAATTGTGTCATCTTTATTGTGGTCTTTCTACGGGTTCCAAACGAAATATTTTAAAAATGTGTCAGCTTAGTCATGTCGTTATGTCCGTGTATAATAACTCGGGAAACGCTAGTTTGATATTAATTAAATTTGAAAATAGCCAGTTTTCTTGAAATTTGTCGACACATTCCAAATTTGGTTAAAACCGGATGAAGAAAACGAACATTTACATGACTATTATACATGCGGTTCAGAGGGCATTTCAAGTACAACTTGCAAAAAAAAGTGTCGGAGTGCTAACTGACCTGAGCAAACAAAGTAGAGAAAAACAAACATATTTTGTGACACTTTCCGGCAAATCTTGCCATTTTAGGAATAACTAGTAAAAGGTTTTGAATGATGCATCATCTCATAGCTCGAGAAAAACTTAACTGATTATAATCAAACTTGAGTCTGGATGCCTTTGCGCAAATTTCATAAAGACCAGCCTAAACATGGACACGAACGTACCACAACTGTTACACTATGCACATATTTCTTAACTTTTTATTTTGTGATGTCCTGCTTTTATAAACAGAAGTCGGGTTATGCTCACAATCCAGCAGAAACGAACTATGCACATTTTACTTTGTTCTATAGTGTAGTATAAAATAATTTAGATGCTCCTCTTATTGACAGTGATTCATTTGTTGCTGCATTTATAGTTTTCTTTCGTAGACTCTTCACTCTATTTGTAATAGGTTTCACTTACATTTGGTTCCCTCGACACATGCCAAAATTAATTCACATCAAAATGAACACATAGGCACTGACTTAAAAAACTCCGTATTAATGAAAAAAAAAACTCCGTGGCTTCCGTCCGCAAGCGAACTATACCGACCGAGCGACCGCCGCTTGTCAGCGAAGTTAGTGCCAACTTTGGCGGATGGAGGGTGTCCCATGGTCAGCGCAATGAATCTCCACGGTCGTTAATTTCAGTTTTCTAGACCGGACTCCGTATTAATATTGAACATAATTGTTTAAAATGTTAAAAATTGAATTATTCTATAATAGTGAATACATTTGTGAAAAGTACTGTTGTTAAAGTATATTAAGAGCTAATTATAAATGTTTAATTAGAGTAGCGAAGGCATGCACTTTTGATCATAATTGTAGAGCCGACTTCTGATTGAAACTCTACCTAAACCATCATTGTTTTAATCTCTTTTTGCGTAAAAATGTCGTCAGAGAGAAATCAGTGCGCCGCCATCCAACTGCATAAGTGACGTGACTGTAACAGACAACTTATATTGATTTCCTAAGCTTTTCCTAACTGATTTCTAATAAGCCGCTCTAATCTGTTGTATCGGAGAAGTTCTTGGAGGTAGACCTAGGCCCACTGGGGCTGTAGTGCCAAGGAAAAGAAATCTGTTGTATGGAAACTTATCTTGATTAGAAGAATCTTCATTACAGAAGAACTGGCAGCTCACAAAATCGAACTATAACTGAATCCATACTATACTATAGAAGTTCATTCATCCAGCCTCATATACTTCGCACATAACGACAGTGGTCTTCAATTCGGCAGAAATACTTGTAACTACTAAGTTCACCAACTAAAAATTTCTTCTTAGCTTCCATCCAATCGCATGCATCCGAGCCTGCTTTTACACATGAAGGTTGTTTTTATTTGTAGTTTTTTATTTATTGTTAGTGTGATGGGACTAAGTCCCTTGTACTGCGGCCACTTCTGGCCTATTGTACCAGCCCCAGTTGATAGGTGAGGGTGATTGTGGAGCAATTGGTGGAATGAAGATTGGCAGGGGAAACCGAAGTACTCGGAGAAAACCTGCCCCAGCGCCACTTTGTCCACCACAAATCCCACTTGACCAGACCTGGGGCCGAACCCGGGCCGTCGCGGTTGGAAGTCAGCGACTAACCCATTGAGCTATGGCGCGACCCTACTCGTAGTTTAGTTGCTCCTCCATTACTCTATGACATTTCATTTCATTATTTGCGACACAAGTGCTCAAAACATTGCACTGTGTAACAATTCCACTGAGTTAGCTTCCTTAAATTATCTCAACAGCCGTATAAAATATGCTTCATTTTCATCTATAACTTTTATTGAAAACAGTGTTGGGCCCGAAATGTTCTTAGCGAGTTATGCATGTAGTTCTTAATGCAAAAGTGTCCATTATTGTTCTCCAATTCTAACAGAAATCTGAATATATTGACAAATTTCAGTATAACTCTCCAATGTCAAATATAATGAAAATCTGTTTGGCGGTTCTCGAGATGTCTGTCACATCACAACAAATGTACAGAACGACACTGCGAAGTAAATTGAAGGTTAAAGAATACAAAAAAATAATAAACAAAAAAACATGTCACCTCTCTACACAGGTTCGTTTAAGCCATTTGCTACTTACCAACGGCGCTGATGGTAACAGTCGTCATTCAATTAGGTGACCTGATCATCTGAACTGAATCACACACGCAATGACTATTTCTAAACGGAAATACCTCCTTTTCGTTATCGAGTTTTAATTCAAAATTTATCGCTTGCTTTGCACCGCTCAGTTCACAGAAGTAGTTGGCTAACCTGCAGATCACAAACATGTGAGTCAGCTGATTGTAGCGAAGGTTGCGTATAATCAGGGAAGAGCGTAGAACATTTCGCGGAGGTTTAGTGCGAAAGGTGTGACGGGTGTGACGGTGAATTAGAATTTCTAGTATCAGATGCGTATTTGGAATTAATAACAATGTTTTCTAGTGGGCCAAATTATACAAAGCTGAAAACAAATTTGCGCCTAGCCATTAATCGCTTGAAACTGTTGGAGAAAAAGAAAACAGAACTGGCTCAAAAGGCAAGGAAAGAGATAGCTGACTACATTTCAGCTGGCAAATATGAAAGAGCAAAAATACGAGTTGAACATATAATTAGGGAAGATTATATGGTAGAAGCAATGGAAGTTGTAGAAATGTACTGTGACTTACTGTTGGCCAGATTTGGTTTGATTGAACAAATGAAGTAAGTTGTTTGTAATGTTTCAAACCTCAAAAATAATTTGCCATTATACCTTACATTCAGAGAACCTTGCTGTTTGTTTTATGTTGTACTTATTAAATTTAAGAAGTGATGTCTAGTTTCATTTATGTTCATTGAAGGTGGTTGCATTAAATTGTATTTTGAGTTTGTTATTATTTCTTCTTGGTCTATTTGAGGGTGCCATCAGCAGCTCAGACCATATTACATCAAGGCCGTTGTTAAAAGTATTCATCTCCCAAAGTAAAGGAACAAGTCATATAGAATTAATGCTGGTAGCATGGAATATTGCTTTATGATAAATTATTTTAAATATATTAAGTATGCTGTTTTTTCTTTGTTAGGACTTTGGATGAAGGTCTTGCAGAAGCCATATCAAGTCTAATGTGGGTGGCACCAAGGCTTCAAACAGATGTTGCAGAACTGAAAGTTATTGCAGATCTCCTGATGGCAAAGTATGGGCGACAATATTCTGATGTAAGTGCAGTTACTTTTGCTGAATCATGCTAATATTGAAACCATGTTTTATGAATCATACATTTAAAATTAAAATCCCCCTAATAGCTGCACACATCATATTCCACTCCAAAAGTATATTAACTCCTGAACTGCATTTTTTTTTTAGTGATGCCCATCCTGTCAGAGGTATGAATTGTATTAAGAGACTCTGCATCTGAATGTATAAGGCTCATATATGTATTATTTGTTTTAAATTAAGTTCTGTGCAGATCTACAGCTAAGTACAGTTCCAACACATTTATCTGACACATAGAAGAGTGGAGTGTGCTAGTTACATGAATCTGCTGGTTGCATGAGGAAGACTCACAAAAACCCAATATAGTACAGTTTAATAGCCAGGCCTATGCAAAACTAAATAGACAGTGAAAGAAATGTAATCAAAATGAAATTCACTTTAGATTAAGGGGTGAAAACTTTTTGATATATTGTAATGCAAGCACAAATTCAACTAGCCTTTACTGTACAGTAGCTGTGTGAGGGAGAATGATAGCCAGCACTGCTAGTGATAGCAAGGAGAACTACTGCATGGCGGATGAACATATACTAAACAGAAATGTTTTTTTTTAAGTATCTTCATAAAAATGGAAAGATTTCTTTGAAATTGTTGCTGGTGGGATGGGAATTCTGGATGGTTATATAACAGAGGGTTTTCTATAATGTCTTTCATATAGGAGAGTTTAATTCTGATGGATAAATATTGAAATATTCTTTCCTTCTTACTTAAATATGATGTCTGCAATGAGTTGCTAGTGTAACCGTACGTCCCTCGCCAAAATTATTTAATTAAGGGTATGAACAATTAATGCATTGTTTAATACCACGAGAGACACTCCATTGGCGAGATACCATCCCGGGACCTTCTAGTTGTAATTCAGCAATTGTCCTCCTTAGGCTGAGGGTGCCACTGTTGTCCCTAATGTTGCCTGTTTACTCCCAGTATCATAAACCCATGAACTGACTGTGTGCGAGACTGGCCAGGAGGGCCCTTGCGTGCCTTGAAGACCTAAAAAAGTTTACAGGTTTCTCGAAAATAGGAATGTAGGTCAGATGCCGGGCCTGACCCTTGGCTTTCTCTTTTTATGTTTCTATTTTTTTCGTTTTTTTGGCCAACTGGGGGACTAGTAAAGAGAGGGCAGTTGGTTGCCCTTGGCTTTCTCTTTTTATGTTTCTATTTTTTTTCGTTTTTTTGGCCAACTGGGGGACTGGTAAAGAGAGGGCAGTTGGTTGAGTGGCTAGCTTGAATGAAATTTTAAATTAAAAGTGCAATATTCGGTGTTCTGGAGATCCCGGATTTATTAACCCCGAAGTGTGTTCCACTCCCATCTCTGAACCACCCGTATCCTGAGAAAAAGAACTCAAGCTCAAGCGACAGTCATGGCAGCAGTACGTCGGCGGTCAGCTACACTAGTTTTTATCATTACCTTGAGATGAATTCTAAGAAGCATGCTTGCAGAATCCATATTGTTTGTATTCAGTCCAAATTTTATCATATGTCTCAAAAGGAATGTAACACTTTTTTAAAAAAAAATATGTATTAAATAAAATACCCAATTTCATAACTCCCATAACAAACAAGGCTTGACTGTATTTCCAAATGCAAGTGACTTCAACAGTAGTAAGATAATCTGCACATTGTTATAACATAATTTTTCTGTCCCCCTGTGAACAGGCTTGCAGAGAAGAGGCTGTCACTTCAATATCAGAGAAGCTGAAACACAAGATGAGTGTTCAGTCACCTCCAAAACTTCTTGTGGAGAAATATCTTATTGAGATAGCCAAGAATTACAACATTGAGTACGAACCAGATCCACAAGTACGAATCTGTCCTGTCATAATTTAAATATTTTAAATGAAACTACTGATAGAGCATGGTCATGCAGAAGCATGTTTTCCAAGTTTTATATGGACCTCTAGAAGTCTGGAAGAATTGAACCTGAATTTTAAATGTTATTTCTTCCCTTCAGGATGGATGTGTCTATTTGACTGAGCAACTACAAATTCAGGGAATCTGTGCCATTGTTCAGTCCAAAATTTGTTGTATTCTTGTGTCTGGTCTGCCTGTGTGAAGTTACAGAACTATAAATGTGATCTAAAAATTTGTGACGATAGCACATTAGTACAAACATTATCCATTGTCTTGTCTTTATCTGAAAACACCATCTTATTTATTTTTAAAAACAAAATATTTCTGAGTCTTGGTTCTGTCTCCTTCAGGTAAAGCCTACTCAGTTGAGCCCAGATTGGGACACTCTTATCAATTGGTCACAAAATAAGTAGGTTTTATGTGAAGATGGAGACAGAATCCAGTCTCCGAAAGTTTGTTCTGTAATATCAACAGGACTGTGTTTTTAGATAAAGATAGCTAATGTCCAGAAACATAATATTTGTACAGAACTGTAGTTTCACCCCTTGTTTGGTACTGATGTGAAATGTGATCTCTGACCCAAAGGGAAGAACATAAATTAAGAACAGAGCAATAAGAATATTAAGACCTGTAAGGGAGGAAGTAGATATTTGTGTACTGAGAAGCTTCATGATTTCTGTTCTACACCAGATATTATTAAGCTGATCAGATCAAGGGAAGTGAGATAGGTGGAGCATGTAGCATGCATGGGAAGATGAGAAGTGCCTACAACATTTTAGTCTTAAAGAAAGAGACCACTTGGAAGTCCTAGGTATAGATGAAATGACATTAAAATATATTTTAAAGAAATGAGGTGTAAGTTTGTGGACTGGATTCAGCTGGCTCAGGATAGGATCCAGAGATTGTCTCCTGTGAATCCACCATTAAACATGACACTGCATAGAAGCCAGTACATTTTGTAACAGGTTGAGCAATTATTGGCTGCTGAGCCATCAAGTTAGTTCTTGGTAAGACATGTTAAATTAAACTTTGATCCCAAGTTAAGTACTTCATGATAATTATCAACGTAAATAAGTGATGAAAGATTGATGCCTGTCGTAGCATTCTTTGTTTGTAACTGTTTGATCTGATGGGACACTTTTCTTTAAAGCCTGGAATGTTTTGTAGGATAAACTGAGCTCCTGCATGATACTGTTGCATGGAACCACTAATCTTGTTCATACTGCTTTGAGGTTTAACTGACCAGTTAACGTACACAGACTCTTTATTTAAGTAAGAAGTTTTTCCTTGGAAGAACATAGTAATAACAGGAAGTATGACATATTTACAATTGAAACAGTTGGTAGTTCTGAATCTAGCAGGATTCGGTCCTACAGACATCTACACACGAACTCACCATGCTAACCCGTCAGCTAAATTGCATTTCATTATTAGTTTCAAAACTTATGTTATGTAAATGTAATGTCAGTAACACAAGATTTGAAGAATTGAAGTCTGTAACATAGGAAAGTGGGTTTCATATGTTATCTACTTATTACAGTGTTCCATAAATATTTTCCCTATCTGAAATTGCATTTGTGTTTCTGCACTTGCTGTTTCTGTGCTGTATTATTCACTGTGTTAACGAAGTATTCAGAGACAGTCGTAAGTATCTTTCTTCCACTACACAATTAATAAAACATATTGTTTTCCTTAATTACTCTTTTACTGTATTCTTTATATATGTTAGATTTTCGTGGATGTAAGATAAAGGACAATAATTTTGTTCTGTTCTATTCAGGTAATGAAGGACGATCCACAAACAATGAATGTGGATTCTTTGTTAATTGATGTTAATTCTGACAAAAATAACCTTGATGGAGGCAGTGTTCTGCGTCCTCAGCCACCAGGCTTTATTGGCTACCCACAGCCTCCTATGTTGCCACAACAGCCTTCTGATTTCCAGCCCTTCAATTACCCAGTAAGTTGATTTTATTCTTGTTTGTGTTGTAGTCTGTGGCATTCTTGTCATATGTTTCTAGATAGTCACTTTTTCATTTAAACTGTAAAAAGTAAAAAAAAGAAAAAAGTAAAGCTATCCCTGTAACAGGCCGTGAAGGCCCATAGGGTTGTGAGACGTTGAGGGTCCCACATTATCTAGACAGTCGGCTCAAAGATGGTGGTAAGGTTGTCAGCCCTACGTGCCGGCCGTGCTTTACTCACCAGGAAAATTATTTAATTAATTCCTGGTACTCATTTCTGTTAGAGGCTGAGTCGACCCCAGGGCCATAGCGAGGCTGGAAGGATTAGGTCAGTTGAAAATATCCACTGACCTCATCGGGACTTGAACTCACGACCTTCTGGTTTTTAGCATAGTGTCTCAACCAACTACGCTACTGCGTGCCCGTCATGTAAACTGTTGTTATTTAATTTATAAAATGTCTTATAAGTCTTGCCATAATCTGTACAAGGAAGGACTTAAGTTTCTGTTTGATGTGGAGAAAGTTTATATTCATTCATGTACTAAATCTTTTGAATGCATTTAGTTGGTGTTTAGTATAAAATCTCAAATTAAGTTTCTTTCCGTTCAGATTGAACAAAAGATTCCATCTTTATCTGCTGGTGGACCTGTTGCACCTCCTCAGCTGCCAGCCCAAGCACCAAAGGCTCCGTTCGGTTTCAGTGTGCCTTTCTCATATAATATTCCTCCTGGAAATGACAGTGTGGGAACTGGATTCAATGCAGCGGCAAAGCCTCTGAACACAAATCTTCAGGTTTGTAACACATTTCATTAAGAATAACTTCAAACCAGGAGCTGGGATAGTGCAGTCATTATAGGGATTGGCCATGGGCTAAATTCCCTGCAGTAGAGATGTTTTGTTTTGTTTTGTTCACAGTGTCCAGACTGGTCCTAAGTACCACCCAGCTTCCTATCCAGTGGGTACCTGAGGCTCTTTCTGTGGGGTGTGAAACTGACTGACCATTCAACTCCATCTAGTGCTTAAGTTAATTCATGAAAATATACCTCCACTGTCGTATACATCTTCATGTCTTGGTACTTAATTAATTATACACAGACACAAGTGTGGAGCTTAGAGCAGGAGCATGAAAAATTTTTAAATCTGAAAGTAGGAGTTAGAATTAGAGCCACACAAAAGGATATCATTCTAAATCTCACACACAAATACGAGGGGGGACCCAAAAATAACCGGAAACGACCTGTTGCGTGCGCATGCTTTGTAGTTACGAGTTGTGCTGCTAGGTGGTGTTAGCTGGGGGTCTCCTGCAGCTGTTAGTGAGCTGGCGTCAGTCTGAGTTGAGTGGTTTGACTGTGGTGCTCTGTTGTGTGCGTTCCTGTTTCAACCCTTTGGCGATTAGTGAGATGGCCGACCAGAAGGAACAAAGAGTGTGCGTGAAATTGATGAAGATCGTCGAAAGACCATTGACCAACTTTCTGAGGAAACGAACATCTCATGGAGCACGGTCCAGCGAATTTTAACCGAAGGTTTGCACATGAGACGGGTGTCTGCAAAATTTGTTCCTCGCTTGCTCGGAGATGACCAAAGAGAAAACCGCGTGAATGTTTGCCACGACTTGAAGAGTGAAGTGCAGTTTTCCCTAACAGAAAGCAAAATTTCACGCACACTCTTTTTTCCTTCTGGTCGGCCATCTCACTAATCGCCAAAGGGTTGAAACAGGAACGCACACAACAGAGCACCACAGACAAACCACTTAACTCAGACTGACGCCAGCTCACTAACAGTCGCGGGAGACCCCCAGCTAACACCACCTAGCAGCACAACTCGTAACTACAAAGCATGCGCGCGCAACAGGTCGTTTCCGGTTATTTTTGGGTCCCCCTTCGTAATTAGGGGTTTCTTCATCAGGACGTCATTTTAGTTATGAAATACAAAACTAAGCATTATGAGGTACAAATTTAACAGAATTTTGGAATATTATCCCAAATGGTTTTCTGTTTCTCTCAGTTTAGTCATATAAAAGTTTCCTGCACATTATTAGAAATATAATTTGTTTCCAATAACATTATTTTTATACTATACTGGCAGCTGAAATTGTTCTTCATCCAGAATTTGGTTGCTTTCCATGTCAGCATCACAATATAGGTCTGTAATAATGAAAACTTTAAACAAGGAATACCACTCATGCTGTATTTATTCCTAATTAATGTTCAGTCATAACATACTGGTTATTTAGTAGAAATGCAAAACATTTAAATAAACAGTTCCATATCTTTGGCACTGAATAATCTGTTGTCACAGGATATTGTAGAACTATAACCATCAATCAAAGCACTTGTCACTTTAATCAGTAACACAAGACGTAACAATGCACCCACAGATATGTTTTGACAAAGAAAGAGTCCTTATATATAATGATGGATACAGCGAAAAGAATGCATAATTTCTCAGTAAATGAATATACCACATTGTCAACCTACAAACATAATTTTGAAATTCATCCACAGGAAAATATTTAGACTGTACAGTAAATTTCTTGTTAACATATGGCATCTGTACACTGCTTCCTGCATTATAAAGGTAACGATGATGACCAAATCGCATCAGAATATTATGCACCAAGATCAGAAAAAACTGAAGTATACATGAAGTAAGATGAATTTTTTTTTTGTAATATTTAAACATCAAGATCAGAAGAAGTGGAAGTTTGCTTCAATCAAAAAAATATTGGAATGAAGATTCAGACTGCATCCACAAACAATAAACCAATACCTTTACATCATTATAGCAACTTCAGCTATTGTATAGGTTTGGTGTTGTACACAGTAAATTTAATGATTTATTCAAGTGTTCTCTCTTTGGTCCAATATAAGAAAGCAGAATTTGAGATAAGACTGACAGGAAAGTTGCATTTATATATATATTAGATTTAGTGAGTTTTCTGTACTGAAATGTTGAATTGGACTGATACTAATTGTAGGAAAATTTCAGTAGTATTGGGAGCACATGTGACTTCTCAACCCTACTTTTTACATCCTCATTTTAAAGGGGAAGGAAGAGAGTAGAAACATTTGTAGAAAAGGGCTCATTGCAATAATCTAAGACAGTGCCCGTAATTCTGTATATTAAGACATGTGTTCATTTCAGACTAGATGACCAAAGTTTAAAGATGTTTCATTCGAAATCATGGTTTTCTGGGCAGTTTGGTAGATAAGTACCCGTCTACAAAAATGCATGAACTCACAACCCAGAAAAATGTAATTTTGAAACAGACATGAGAACTTTAAATGTCATGTTCCTTTTGATTTATCGTAGGCGTATAGTTTATTTGAAGTGTTTATGGCCTTCTGATGGCCACTCTGCAGTTCTTGAATGCATGTGAAGAATTTGATGACCTATAGATGCATGCAGCATGTAATGTAGGTTTATTCTTTTTGGGTATATTTGCAGGATACATCTCCCCCCCCTCCGTACAGCAGCTTTCCTCCTGATCTCCGTGATAACAACAAGCAGGTATAATTTGTTGCTGTAATTATGTGTTAAGTTCCTGTAAAATAAATTATTCTTTACTTAAGTTCACATTTTAAAACTAAGGTTTAATGTTTTTCCCAGTCACTTAGTAGGTAAATAATTTCCATCTTAATATCAGTAACCATGCACATAGGGCCGCGCCATAGCTCAAGCGGTTAGTCGCTGGCTTCCAACCGCAGCGGCCCGGGTTCGATCCCGGATCTGGTCAAGTGGGATTTGTGGTGGACAAAGTGACGCTGGGGCGGGTTTTCTCCGAGTACTTTGGTTTCCCCTGCCAATCTTCATTCCACCAAATTCTCTATCATCATAATCACCCGGGGCAGGCTACAATAGGCCAATCAGTGGCCGCCGTGCCGAGTGGACCCTGATGGACTCCACCGCCCACTAAGCGAAACCTAACTATCAGGTTTCATGAAGCTTATAAATCAGAAAAGTTTGCCCCTGCCATACAGTCAGTTGTTTACCTGGGTAGTAATGTCCAAGATTTAAGTATATGCTTCACAAAAGGAAAATCTTTAGTACTTTTTCGTGGGCTAGGTTTTCAACTGTCTATTTTAAATGATCAAGAAGAAAATTATGAATAGAACTGATGAAGTTTAATGTTTTCTGTATTAATATTTAGAGTGATGACAAACCAAAACCTCTACCAAGATCAAAGCTGTCACCCAATGGTGGTGGCCCTAATCAACTGTCGAAGAAGGATGGTGGATTCTTTGACTTGCCTGAATTACCGTCAGTTCCAACAGACAGTTTGCCTCCGCCAGATGAAGCTCTTGATCCAGGAAATGCTGGAAATGATGAAATTGATTTTGATGATCTGACTAGGAGATTTGAAGACCTAAAGAAGAAAAAGTAATATCATTGTGAGTTTCTTAAACTTAAATGTATGTTTTTATGCAAATAAATAAACTTGCAAGTATTAGTTAAATTGACCCGTTAAGTTTCCCCTAGTCACAGTTTCTTACTCTCTCCATTCCATAACATTTTATTCTTTTTTATGCTAATTTTTTACTTGTAAATACTTAAGAAGACAATGATGTAAATAATTAATCAGACAATGTGTAACATTTTCAGGACTATGAGTAATAATTTAACCTTGCTGTGCATACTTGGATATTTTTGCAAGGTGACATTTGAAGTACATAAGCTGGTTGTCATATAAGAGCAATTTGTATGACCTTGATCTGCTACAGTATTTATGTTTTACTACAAGAATTTCAGAAGCTGCACTTTTGGTTCATAATGGAGCTGAGTGCTATAGGGTGTTAATATTTTACTTATTATTAGCTCATATTACTAACAGCAGGAATTTGATTGTACCAAAATAATATTTATTGTTTGATTATTCATTTTTAATGGCACTTTATCAACTGCACTGGTTATGTTGCTTGATGGTAGGGTTGTTTGTGATGTATTGGAAAGTAATGTCGAAGGATGTGTCCATGACCAGTTATAAAATATCACTCCAGCAGTTACCTGGAAAGACTTAACAAAAACCATGACTTACCTCAGCCATGATAGTTGGTCTCCAGAGTGCATTTTTGAACATGCAACCTGCTGGTTATGTAGCAGGAATACTGACCACTCTACCATAATGTTTTGTAAAATATGGTTTATAGTTAATCTATTAATCTTGATCTAAGCTGTCAAGAGGTTTAGAAGCAGTGCCAGTATGAGTGTAACAAGACAGTTGAAATCAGGTTTTGAACCAATGAACTGATGTACCGTGTCTGTGTCTTTAATTCTTGTGTTGTGCCGCACATTATTTTTTGGAATAATATTTTCACTGTCTTACATTTAGCATCAGTATCAGAAATAAAAAACCAATTCTTCACTCTACTGTGCACCAATATTATGCAGAATTTTGCTGTGGCATTAGCAGCAAATTGCTGATTTTGAGATGCTCAGATCAAAATTAGAGGGTCTGAAACGTCAATTTTATGTTATAAATTCATGACTATAAGTCTGAAAAGTAACACAGTACCTTACATATATAGTATATATAGTTTATATGTGACAAAACTGAGGACTCTTTGAGTAATAACATTATTATGGTACTAACTGCTTGTGCACATTAAGTAACTACCACCAGAATTCATATATTGAGTCTTAATTGTGCCTGTGGTCACAGAAGTAACTGGCAATACAGAAAAGGTTAAATCTATGACCCTGATTAGTATTATCTGCTTTTACTTCCAGGGAAAGATCCTTTGGGACAATTTAACAGGAGCCAGGTAGATTTAAGGGCCATTTAAGTGAATTAAAATGTGAAGATACATTCTACAAATGATCATTTATGTTAATGAAGTTTGGAAATGCTGTTTCTGAAGAGTTTTAAGGTAGTGTTTCTTGACCTTCTCAGGTCATTATACCTCTTGGTCTCAGGGTGAAGCCTCACAGACCTATTTTCACTGGCAGGTTTCATTCTATACAAACTGTTTCTGTTCCATGGACAGAAAAGGTTGTACAAAAGAAAGTTGTCACACATATATTTTACCTACTTGATCTGTGTTTGACAGTGTATGAAATATATTCTACATATTGCCTCATAAGGTTTGAGACTCCCTGGTAGTTCATTAGTTTCTGGTTCAGAACTGCTGAGTTATGGAATATAACCTTATCCTCCACTCTCCTTTACAATACAGAATTTGCTTTATGTTACATACTCTTCTTGAAAATGCATCACATCCTGTTCCCTTTGTGTATTCTGTTGACTTATTTGTAGCAGACACTGCCTTTCACAAGTTCCCATTAAATGCTTATTTTAACATCAAAATTTAAATGAGAAAGTAGTAATACATATATAAATGACATAGTACTCTGGTGGTCAAATAGCTTACCAAATTAAATTATAAATAAGTGGTCACAATATGGGGCTGTGAAATTTGTTGTATTTGAAGCAGTGTGTCAAATTTTTTAGAAGTGAAGTTTCAAGAAGTAGTAATGCGAAATTTGACAGGAAATGAAAGAGCATATGCTAATCACAATACAGATCCTCAGATTTCTGGCAATGGAAAATTCTAGACATTTCATCCACTCTGTAAACTCTTCATGTAAAAAGTGACTAATATGCATAGGTTGTTAAAATATTCTAAATCTACTGTATTTAAAGAGCACAGTTGTCAGTTTCTTTGGTATATAATGTTCTGATGATATTTTTTAGTCATTATTAAAATCGTCCAAAATCATAGTTTAGTTTTTAAACCCATTCATGTATTACATTTCAATTTGTATAGAATTAATTTTGCTCATACATTCAGTTTCAAAACCCAGTAGACTCCTGATTAAATGGGGGAAGATTATCTGGAGCCTTTGTAAAAATGGAGTTTTATATGCATTTGAATATGTACTTGAAAACTTGAGAAGGCTTTGTTTGATTTTTCTTTTTAATGTGCTGAAATGACATAGGAGCTTTTCAGAAACCACGCTCGTGTTTCTATCAATGGTGTTCAAGTAAAATGCGTTTACATATAATCTTGTAAAATTTACAAGTTAGCTATATATTTCTTTTATTGATTATCTGTGGTTCACATTTATCCAGGGAAATTAATTTTACACCCATCTTTGATAATCAGGAGTTTACTTTAAGTTAATAAAAAACTGACTGAAAAGATGCTCAAGAAAAGTATCTGATAAAAGAGAGGTTAATGTCATTTAGTGCTAATATTTCACATGTACTCTAGTTTTCATAAAGCAAACTGATATTTTTTATGGATTGCAACTTGTAAATAAATTCATGCAAGTGTTTGCTTGGTGCTATATAAGAAATGTGTCATACCATGTAATAACTTGATTAGAACATAGTAAAGTGAGAAACAAATTAATTTTAAAGTATACCTGATGATTTTCAAAATATATGTTAAGATAAAGCAATGAACTCAATCTGGAGTTGTTATTTATAATGTAATATAATATAATTCTAAGTAATATAATGTTATTTGCTTAGAACTTAACAATGCATTGCAGAAAGAGTCCATTTTGGGGTGGGGGGGGGCAAGGTTGTGTGCTAAGGCTATGGTAGTCTGGGCTGTAACACTGTATGCACTACATGATACTCATATCAGACCCGGAAGACCACAGTCTGAACAGTCACCACTATGAAGAACTCAAAACATATAAAAGTTGTGATACATGTTATTTGCTATATATTTGGCACAGGATACTCTTGTTCTCATCAACTTCTAAGGACTAGGCTTTCCAAAATTTCTCACTGACTGTAATTCAGAAGTCGTTTCGCTATATGATTTCCTCCATGTTATTTTCATGGATTTTATTGATTATTTACTTGTAATATCTTTATAAGTATGAAATTATATATCTTAAGTAATAGAATTCACTGACTTGCTTTAATATTTGGTTTATTTGGTTATTGCTCACGTAGTAGAGCACACATAGTAAAGAATAGCAGCGGCACGCACACAGAAAGACTACACAGGATAACACCTATACAGTGTGGAAACAAGAACTAGCCGCTGCAGCACTTCAAACACAGGGCGAATAACCCTAACAATTTTAAAATTTTAAAATTTGGACAAGAATTTAAAGGTTTAAAATTAGAACTAAAGATTTTATTATGGTGCTATTACAATAAACTCAAAATTAACGTGTGTAAAGTAATCTAAGGGTGGACAGCTATCAACAAAGTAGAAGTTGATAATGACAGGGAGAGTGTTTTAGATGTTAAATTTTGAACTGGGTGCAGTGTGACAGCGATGTGAGCGTTATACACCTGATGATGGCCGTCTGAGGCCGAAACATGTAGTGTAGGGAGCAAGATCAAAGACACAAAATATATTGTTTGCACTTGAGACGGAGTTTATATCATTTAATGTGTGGGAGCCACAACCCTATAGGTCTTCATGGCCTGTTGCAGAGATAGCTTTACTTTTTTTAATCTTATTTGTGATAAACTTTGACATATAATTATGTTAGTGTTGTATAAGCATTGCACTAAATTGCTGAGCAGGTTTAGAACTCTTTATTGTGAAATATGACATGACTTTGCCTAATCACTCTGTCAAATATCTTTCCATAATCTATGAACAGCATATTGGCTTCCAAGTTATAATCTGTTAGTTGCTGAATAGTAAAAATATAGTCAGTTGTTAACTGTCCTTCTCTTAAAGCATTTTGCTGTTGTGATCTAAATTTCTCTCTCATTCTGGATAAGTTAGAAAGCTAGTCTGCTTTCACCAAGAAAGCAGCTCCTCTGTCAGGCTACTATAGCCAGTTAGTTGTCTGTCGTAAGGTAAAAAATTGTCTCTTTACTTAATTAATTAAGCACCACGCCGTGAAGATATATGTGGGAATGGAGGTATATCCCCACATTCCTGACCTTGGCACTAGATGGAGATGAGTGGTCAGCTTCATGCACCACCACTTTGCTGCAGGAAAAAGAGCCTCCAGTGCCCATTGGATAGGAGGTTGGGTGGACCCAAGAGCCCATCTGGATGATGTGGAGAAGTGAAAATTCTAACCCCCACCAGGACTTGAACTTCGACCCCTCGGTTGTCCAGCCTGTAGCCAGTCACTATACCCACTATGCTATCCTGGCTACCTATTTGTTTCTAATATAAATATGAATACAAAGTTATAAGAGACATCTACATATTTACGGACACTTCTTATAGTACAGAATTACACTAAAATAATTATATGAATGAATCACCCCATTATTATACTGCTTACGTGAAGTTGTAATCAAGAATGTTTGGTTAAGATATATTCTTGTACACAGTAGGAGTAGATATGAAACGCTCTTTTAATACTGTCTAGAACAGTTCTATATTATGATTCAAAGATTTTATTTAGGTGGAACATTAATGAATTTCTTAATGTCAGTACAGTAAATTGAGGTTAGTGACTAGCACCCAAAGGTCACAACAAAAGGCCATTACTGGACTCACCCTGTTTACATTAAAATCCAAGACAAAAGATTTGCAACTGAATGGGAAGAAACATATCCTGAATTAAATATTTAATTTCTTTGATTTATTACATTTTTAAAACTGTACTGAAGTTCTATTTCTCTCAGCTGTATCATTCATGGTATTAATTCCAGTTATTTGATACTGTTACATAAATTCATGCTAATAATAGTAATGATTACATAACTTGTAGCTGAATCATTGTTTGGTAGAGGTGAAGATTTTATCTGTATCCTTGAAATTAAATTTATGAAGCATCTAACAGAATAATATGACCAGTCAGTCAGTGAGAGAGCAGTAATCAACAAACTAGTGTAGCGTCTCTAGTTATCACAAGAAAGTTAATTCTGATGATTTAGTTGCCACTGAAAGTTAAGTAGTTAACTGAACATGAATTCTCATGACTATGAAGAAAATGAACCTCTGCATTTTGTGACACCACTAAAATACAGCAAAGCATTGTCAGAATTCATACCAGGTGCCACGGAATTGTACATAAAATTGGAAAATTGCCAGCCTTCTGGTTCCTATAAGATTCGAGGTGTTGGAAGACTGGCAAGAAAGGTAAGAAAAATATTAGATGTGAAGCAAATAGAAAAAGAATCCATAAATTGTAGAATAATAGTGTCATGTTTTTGTGACTCTGTGCAGGGTTTGGATTGATTATTGAATTTATTGGAATGGTGACTCAATTAATTGGCCACTTACACAAATTGTAACTACAAGTAATTATAATAGTCTCACTGGTTTACACAATCTAAAAATCACTGTAACTGCAGCACACATATTCTTCTATATTTTCATTAATTGTTTGCTGGTAACAGATCTTAACAGTCTCCTCTGCTTATGTCCTTATGTTCTTACCTGCTGATGACTGTCCCACAACTGAACTAATCTCTAAACCTAGTCCTGTTTATAACTTTCCTGCATGGACCATGTAGAAAACACAGCTCTTCTACTGTTGCATCCAATTGTTGCATAATTAAGAATCTGCTGCCAACAGTGAGAACGCCGTTGCCCAGAAAGAGTCGCTGTTTACAGAGTAACTGCTTAGCAACAGGTCTATAGGCCACAATAGTGTGTGTGTGTGTGTGTGCGTGTGTGCGCGTGTGTGTGTGTGTGTGTGAGCGCACGCGTGCGTCTGCGGTTCCTGTTCCAATACCCAACTATACATTGGCCCAGATTTATATTCACTCCTTTGTAATTTTATTGGAGATTAATGGCCTTTAATAAGATTTCAGTTTGGGAATGTTCAGTAATTTATGTACAGTACAAACTTTCTTTGGATATTAAATTATGACACTAACTAACTAACTAACTACATGGATCTGAGCCCTTCTCTAGAAGCTGCCAGTTGCTGAGCCACTCAAAAATTTCCAAACGTCTTATGGAACCCGAAGATTCATTACTATGTTTACAAGAGCCTGTCATTGGTCCCTATTCTGAACCAGATAAAGTCCACACCACCCTGTCCCACCTCTCCAAGACTCATCTGAATACCATCCTCCCACCTATGTCTAGGTCTCCTTAGTGGTCTCTTTCCTTTTAGCTTTAACACTACAATCCTATATTCATTCTCCTTCTCCCCACGCATCCTATATGCCCTTGACATTATCATTATAATTATACTTGGCAAAGAGCATAAGTTAGAAAGATCCTCAGTATGCAGTTTCCTCCAACCTTCTATCACTTCATCTCTCTGTGGTTCAAATATTCTCCTCAGCACCCTGTTCTCAAACACAGTCAGTCTGTGTTCCTCCCTTAATGTCAAAGATCAAGATTCAAATCCATACAAAACCACAGGAAAAATGATAGGTTCTTTTTTTTCTAATTTTTAAATTTTTAGACAGCAGACATGAAGACAGAAGGTTCAGGACTGAATTACCTCAGCCGAATCTCCTCTTCATTTTCTCCTGAACCAAATTCTGATTTGTTACTCTCATTCCCAACTATCTGAACTGTGCCACGTTTTCAAAGGATTGATTAGCTATCATCATGTCATGATTTTGTCCTCCATTCTGGTGCCAAACATATACTTAGTTTTCACTCTGTTTACTTCTAGACCAATTTCCTTACTAGCATCAGTTACAGTGAATGTTTTGCTTTGTGGTATCTATGTTACCTCCCAATGATTGACATTATTGGCTAAAATGAGCAGCCAGTGTGTCCCATTTAATTTCAGTCCCACCTGCTTTCCTTGGACCTTCCTAATGACATAATATAGAGCAAAGTTGGAAAGCAATTGTGATCAAGCATTTCTTTGTTTTAGACCATTCTGAATAGGAAATGTATCAAACAAATATTTACCTATATGGACCTTACTATTGGTTTCAATTAAACACATTTTAATCAGCCTAACTAGTGTCATGGTTCCCCCAAACTCTATGAGAATATCATATAATACTTCCCTCTTAAAAGAAACGTAGGCTTTCTTGAAGTCTTTGAATGGATGACATAATGGCTCATTTTTCTTCAGTATTTAACAAATTAAGAAAAACATATCAGCAGTTAAGCGGGTAGAGTTTGTTAATGATATGATGCTAGACATAATACTAAGAGGTTGCTGGTGTGATATTATTGTTCTGAACGTTTGTGTCTCAGGAGAGGATAAAATTGATAATATGAAGGACAGCTTATATGAGGAACTAGAACGTGTATTCGATAAATTCCCTAAATACCATACAAAATATTAGGAGATTTCAATGCCAAAGAAAGTACGTAAGACATTTTCAAACCAACAATTGGGAAGGAGAGTTTGTATGAAATTAGTAATGGTAATGGAGTTGGATTAGTAAATCTTGCCACATCCAAAAATCCTGTTGTCACAAGTACAGTGTTCCTACATTGTAACATTTGTAAATATACTTGGACATCTCCTGACAGAAATACTCACAATCAAACTGACCATATGTTGATAGACAGGAGATGGTATTCAAGTGTACTTGATGTTCGGTCAGGATAACAGACTATGATACTGACCACTAGCTAGTAACGACAAATTTAGGGAGAGGCCGACAGTGAGTAAATNTGATATTATTGTTCTGAACGTTTGTGTCTCAGGAGAGGATAAAATTGATAATATGAAGGACAGCTTATATGAGGAACTAGAACGTGTATTCGATAAATTCCCTAAATACCATACAAAATATTAGGAGATTTCAATGCCAAAGAAAGTACGTAAGACATTTTCAAACCAACAATTGGGAATGAGAGTTTATATGAAATTAGTAATGGTAATGGAGTTGGATTAGTAAATCTTGCCACATCCAAAAATCCTGTTGTCACAAGTACAGTGTTCCTACATTGTAACATTTGTAAATATACTTGGACATCTCCTGACAGAAATACTCACAATCAAACTGACCATATGTTGATAAGACAGGAGATGGTATTCAAGTGTAGTTGATGTTCGGTCAGGATAACAGACTATGATATTGACCAGTAGCTGGTAATGACAAATTTAGGGAGAGGCTGACAGTGAGTAAACAAACATTGCATACACTTCATATGGAGAGGTCCAATCTCCAGAAATTAATAGAGGTATAAGGTGAAGAGCAGTATCATGTTGAAATCTCAAAGAGGTTCACAGCTTTGGAAAACTTAGATGCTGAGGTGGATATTAGTAGAGCTTGGAAAACCAACAGAGAGAATATTAAAATTGTAATCAAAGAGATTCTAGATTATTATGAAGTGAAGAAGCATAAATCATGGTTCAATGAAGGTTGCTCAGAATTGTTAGGTCAAAGAAAACAAGCCAAATTGCAGTGGTTACAGGATCCAAGGGAAATAAATGGAAATAATCTCAACAATATAGGATAATGAAGCCAGCAGGAATTTCAGGAATAAAAACTGGGAATATCTGAAAGTGTCCTTTATTATTTTGTAGTTTTGTGTGCTGTGTTTTGTATGAGTGTGGTGTGTTATTTGTGTGTTGTGTAATATTGTAGTACCATTGCTACCAGGTAAAACTNGTATTCAAGTGTACTTGATGTTCGGTCAGGATAACAGACTATGATATTGACCACTAGCTGGTAATGACAAATTTAGGGAGAGGCTGACAGTGAGTAAACAAACATTGCATACACTTCATATGGAGAGGTCCAATCTCCAGAAATTAATAGAGGTATAAGGTGAAGAGCAGTATCATGTTGAAATCTCAAAGAGGTTCACAGCTTTGGAAAACTTAGATGCTGAGGTGGATATTAGTAGAGCTTGGAAAACCAACAGAGAGAATATTAAAATTGTAATCAAAGAGATTCTAGATTATTATGAAGTGAAGAAGCATAAATCATGGTTCAATGAAGGTTGCTCAAAATTGTTAGGTCAAAGAAAACAAGCCAAATTGCAGTGGTTACAGGATCCAAGGGATATAAATGGAAATAATCTCAACAATATAAGACATGAAGCCAGCAGGAATTTCAGGAAAAAAAACTGGGAATATCTGAAAGTGTCCTTTATTATTTTGTAGTTTTGTGTGCTGTGTTTTGTTTGAGTGTGGTGTGTAGTATTGTAGTACCATTGCTACCAGGTAAAACTCCATTTGCAGTTAAAATAAATAATACAAAAAGTATTAATTGGCTTGCAAGGAACAGTGGGGCACACAGTAGTGTANAAGAGGTTCACAGCTTTGGAAAACTTAGATGCTGAGGTGGATATTAGTAGAGCTTGGAAAACCAACAGAGAGAATATTAAAATTGTAATCAAAGAGATTCTAGATTATTATGAAGTGAAGAAGCATAAATCATGGTTCAATGAAGGTTGCTCAAAATTGTTAGGTCAAAGAAAACAAGCCAAATTGCAGTGGTTACAGGATCCAAGGGATATAAATGGAAATAATCTCAACAATATAAGACATGAAGCCAGCAGGAATTTCAGGAAAAAAAACTGGGAATATCTGAAAGTGTCCTTTATTATTTTGTAGTTTTGTGTGCTGTGTTTTGTTTGAGTGTGGTGTGTAGTATTGTAGTACCATTGCTACCAGGTAAAACTCCATTTGCAGTTAAAATAAATAATACAAAAAGTATTAATTGGCTTGCAAGGAACAGTGGGGCACACAGTAGTGTAGTTGGTTGAGGCATTATGCTGCAAGCCGAAAGATCACGGGGTTTGAGTCGCAATGAGGTGGATTTTTCAATTTACCTAATCCTTCCAGCCACACAATGGCCCTGGGGTTGACTTAGCCTATAACAGAAATTAACACCAGGAATTTTCCTGGGGGGTAAACAGTGGCCAGGACATAAGGCTGACAATCATCTGTGAGCTGACTGTCTAGAGAAAATGTGGGAGCCTCGACATCTCAAAACCTTATGGGCCTTCATGGCCTGGTACAGGGACAGCTTTACCTTATTTTTTTTTTGCAAGGAACAGTAAGAACAAGAATATCAGAGAACTGTATGGAGGAATAAACGAATTTAAGAGGGATTATCAAATTAGATTTAATATTAGTGGAAGATGAGAATGGTGATCTGCTTGCAGATACCCACAATATTTTGAATAGGTGAAGAAATACTTCTCTGTTATTGAATGTACATAAGGGCGGTGATGTTAGGCAGATAGAAATACGTAAAGCTGTTAGTACCTGATCCTAGTCCTTTTGGAGTTGAAATTTATTGAAAAGTTGAAAAGCTATAAATCACCAGGTAAGTGATGCAATTCTGGCAGAACTAATTGAAGCAAGAGGTGAAATATTACCATCTGATATCCATGAACTCATTAATTCTATTTGGAATAGGGAATAATTGCCTGATCAGTAGAGGAATTCTATTATCGTACCAACTTACAAGAAAGGTGATAAAACTGACTGTATTAATTAATTAATTCATTGATCATATCTTAGCTCTGCACCTCAATCTGCAATTGAATTTATGCATAGGGCACACCTTCACCTTTTTAGATACCTACATACTGGGTCATAAATAGACAATAAATTCAAACTTAAATTGTTTGATATATGTCAGTTGAAGGAAAGAGGGTGTCAGCAGTTGGTGTCAGCATCTGGTGGCAATGCTGGTGTGGCAGCAGCCTACGCCTCTCGGATTATTGATATTCCCTGTACTGTGTATGTACCACAGTCAACAGAACCAGCATGCATAAAACTCATCAAAGACAATGGAGCACAAGTCAAGGTAAAGATCTGTATTCTTCTGGCTTGAAATGTAATGCAAGTTTTATCAGTCACCAGATCATTACGCATTAGTCTACCCTCACCTCTTCTACATTCCTTAAGTTATTTTTGTATATTTAGTAATATTTCCAAACAGCATAAGTTTTCTACAATTGCTTACTAAAATTTTAAGCATTATGTGCTAGAATTCTGTTTCATTACAGATCCTGTAGTAACCAGCTTCACCTAGAACATAAACACAAACACAGTAATAAATGGTGTATTGATGTGTGCCTTTAATATTTTAGTTTTGAATCACTTTAACAATTTTATCAAATTTTATAACATGCCCGTTGAAATTTTGATGGAAAATTTTTGAAAACAAACTTCATTAAAGGCATCTAATCTTAATAAAGTGAAAAGTTCTGGAATGATGGTTGCTTTTATACAAAGATACTAGTTAGTTAGTTATCGGAGAAGGTGGGTTTCACCATGCACTTAGACCAGTATTGGTCCAATGTGCTTCCCTCTATGATATTCTGCCAGTCTCTATACCCTACCAATATTGGTGCGTACGAGCAGTCCCGACCGAGCTAGCGAGTTCGGCCTCTACTGGCTTGGCGGCATCTATAATGCTTCCCCCATCTTATCAGAGTCGTTAGAGACTACTGTTGTGCGGGAAATGTTCTTGAATTTGGCTCAGTGACCTCCTTTGGAGATATGAGGTTCTTTTACGTGCCGTAAAGCTACGACACGGGACCCACGGCTTAAAGTCCCTCCCGGAGGACTTGTTCCCTGAATTTTTCCGCCCTTAAAAATTCCATGACCTCCGCCGGGTTTGAACCCGTGTAGCACAAGTCATGAGGTGGGAACGTTACCTCTAGACTACAGAGGCCGCTTACAAAGATACTAAATCTGATGGAATAACAATATTAACTAAGCAGAGTTGCTGTCTGCTCTCTTTTTTAACTGGCAGAGCAAAATAATGATCATCATCTAAATGTATTTCAGTAATTAAACAAGAGGTGTACGTTTTCTTTAGGCACAATGTGACCATTTATAACAGTCTGTGGTTGAGTGATTTAGCCACAGGATACAAAATAAATTATGATACATTGTAAATTTTCAGTAATAGATATAATTTTGACATTACCACCAGATGCTCATCTTCTCTTATTGAAAATACACAGCAGAAGATTTTTCCAAATGATCTCAAATGCATCACATGAGTGGAAATTTCGCAATAAATAATTCCTATCTCTAGCTACAGTTTCCATGGATAACCCCTTCACTGGCTCACTCATAAAAATTTTGGTTATCTGTGTGTATAAATGTAAACCACAATTTTGTTATATATGCCATCAAAAATAGATATTTTCCTTCTACAAATATCTACTGCAATGCTGACTGACGCATAGATAGTTCCAGTTATTTTGTTTTTAATTCACTTAGTGGGGGTGGAGTCCTAGTAGGACCACTCAGCACGGCGGCCACTGATTGGCATATTGTAGCCTGCCCTGGGTGATTATGATGATGGAGAATTTGGTGGAATGAAGATTGGTAGGGGAAACTGAAGTACTTGGAGAAAACCCGCCCCAGCACCCCTTTGTCCACCACAAATCCCTCTTGACCAGACATGGGATCGAACCCGAGCCACCGTGGTGACAAACCAGCGACTAACCGCTTGAGCTATGGCACGGCCAGTAGTGTCAGTTAAATCATAATATGGCTGAAAGATTGAAGGATGTCATTGTTTCCTTTCAAATTTGCTTCCTGCCACAATTATTGTTCTTTCTGGACTTATTCAGTCAGATCTTCTTTTCTTTCTTCAGCTTAGGCAAGCTTAGCGATTCCATCTCCAGGCATTCAATTGATTATCTTCTGTAGTAAATTAGTCATTTAAATTAAACATTTGTCATTCATAATCTTGTTCTTACACAAGGAAGCACACACTTCCCATATGAGTCTCTGATATTTCTACAGACAGGCCCACAGAAACAGAGACATTCTTTGTTTTTTGTTGATGTTACTTCTGTTCATTGATTGTAACACTGTGCAGCTGTGGGCGATGTTCCTGAAATTTCAAAGGTACATGCTTCCTCCACCTTCAGGGTTGAAACATGTACTTCTGAAGCTTCTGCAACATTGCCCATAATCATATGGTGTACAACAAAAAAAATAAAGGGAATAAACATCAATTAGTAATTTGTATTTTTTATGTCTTATAATTATGACTAGCTCACTGAATGTGGATTTACACTGTTTCTTTTATTTCTTCTGACAGATTGTGGGGTCTAGCTATAGCATGGCAGAAGAAATTGCCATTAAAGAAGCTGAGAATCCAGGAATTGGCTTTCTAAGCCCATATAACCATGCAGAAATTTGGTAGGGAACGTTTCTTGTTCAAGAATCTACAGTAAACTATCAATTTTCTACAAATTACTGTACTTTTATATGCTTAATGAACTACTTTAGAGACCTGAATATTTAGCTGTATATGCTGTAGACCCTTGCCTTCCTATTATTTACTGCACCTCTTCAGGATACTTCTTTTATTATTGTTATGACAAGATCATTCACTGTATATGAAACTTATTGGTTATTCCAAACTTGCTGATGCCCTTCATCACTGATCCTAATAGCTGCTTCACAGAACACTGCAACAGATTCAGTAAAACTGTATGTAAGTGCTATGTCACTGACACATTTTAAATTTTACAGTGACATCAAAGCAACAACGGTTTCCTAAAATAGGAAAAAGACCTAATAAAGAGGTGATGTTAAACAGGACTTCTTCAGATATTATGTGGCTGAGAATGACAACCTAAACTGTCCTCCTTCGTTGAATTTCAAATGCAAAATAACATGAACATGCATATGGTAACACTCATTACCACAAGCAAATAATGGAAAAAGTATCTGTGGATGTGATTTCAGTGAGGAAACAATTTCTGTGGCTGAATTGAAACAGAATAATGAACATTGATTTAAGTTGCTTGTAGAATCCCTGGTTACAAATTACTGGCCAGCAAGGTCAGATAACTGAAACAGACAAATTTGAGGGCAAAGAAATGGCACTAATTCTGGTATACATGGAAGCCATTCAATTGCTCTTGAAATGACTGAAGAATTACCTATGTGGAACAAGAAAACACAGTGTTCTCTGATAGACTGTTGTTTTGCAGACTGTTAGAAGAAAGGTGCTATCAGTCATCAAAGCAAATTATGTATGTACTGATAGTGTTCAATTTATCAGCTGTTTTGATCTTTTCAGACTGGTTCAGTTCATTTACAATGGAATTTATAATTTAAAATCTACTGTCATTATTTAGTTTTCAGTGTTGAAAAAAGTTCATCCTTAATATCCTCAAAATGTGCCCAAACATATATGATATATGAGAAGAGTCTTTAGACCTGGCCTCTGGGTTTCACATTAAGAGAAGTATGGCAAGAAATAGCAGGGAGGTAGTTGCAACATCATTGTAGAAGGGTGGGAGGGTGATGTTATACTTATACATACCCTACAATTCTGTATTTAAGCATCCTGTTGCAAGCCATATTAAAACTTCCATGTATAACACAGTCTGTCACTAATGCAACAGATGGTTCCTTTTTCTTCTGCTTATACTTTAAGACAACACCACATGCTGGTAGAGGGAACAACGCACATGCAAAGGGGCATATTGCAGATTGCAGACATAAGAGAACAACGGGCTAATGAACATAAAAACAAGCTGCTGCAATAAAACACATGGAAAGAAACACATAGGTCTAAACAAATGGATGATATCCCTTGTGAGGTGGAATAGAATTTCACAAACGTAATGACAATTTTAATGGATTTTATTCTATTATATTAAGTGGACTACAGTATGCGAATTTAGCGCATATTAATGCAGTGTAGCAGCGTTAATATAATAAGACACCTGAAGATGACCATCTACTCGTAAGTTCAAAATTTGTTGTGTTACAGTATAAATGGAAGAAAAAGGAACAGTTTGTTGCATTATTGATGGACAGTGTTGTACATAGACGTTTTAATACCCTACAATTGCCTTAGTCTGTGGACTGCACTAAATCCACTGCTGTTCAGTTAAAGAATACCAACAGTACACACTTACACATGGGATCTCAAAAGTCCTGACTAGGTTAGCAGAAATGGCAATATGTCTGCTTGTGTTGGGTAGTATCCAGTTAAGAGTCCCAAGTAAGGCAACAATCATCCAAATTGAAATTTTTCAGTTTATCCTTTCAAATATCAGAATGGAAACTGGAAATAAGTCACAGTCCCTTCCTCTCCATTTCCTTTCAGTTGCTGTACATAACCACCTCCCATTTTATTTGATGCTAAATAGCAGTGGTGTTAAAATACATACCAGTCTTAAAAATTAAAAATTATGATTTATGGAAACTCAGAATATAATCCATTAACCTTGAAAGATATTAGTTCTGCTTCAAAGCTTGACGCATTCAGTAGTACTGTGACAGCCAAATGTACGTGGTTCCATTGGACTGCAAAGATTATAAATTCAAGAGAAGCTATAGACGGCTGATTCATATCTGTCAGTATAAATAATAAAAACAAATGATGGTGTTCCAACTATTATAGGGCTGGTAATTCTACTATGATGGATGAACTTAAAGTCCAGCTTCCCAGTAAGCCAAGCACTATTGTTCTTTCTGTTGGGGGTGGAGGATTATTGCTGGGTGTTCTGAAGGGCCTTGAGAGGCTAGGTAAGTTGTACAAAACTTTCTCTCCTTCACTTCCTTTTCTTCCTAGTCATCATAAAATAGACATTTGTTAATTAATAAAATAGGTGTGTCATCACTACAATGAATATAAATCCTATGTTAACATAAATCAGTTTACTGATTTGAAGTTTTCATGGCTGCCCATTGTTGATGGTAATTCTGCTTTTGAGTCTTTGCACTCTATGAATGGGAGGAGTGTTGCTGACATTTCAGAGAGATATATTCTGCCTCCAGCTTCAGTGTTCACGGGGTTCACACAGGATATGTGTGTGTTCATAGATCTGCATAGGTAGTGATCCAAGGAAGGGCGGGGGCTCATACCTGGTCCATGCCAATATGGACAGTGGACAGGTAAATACTCTCAAAAATATCCCTGTGGGTATGGTGGACCTACACTTATATATACATGAACATTCACTCATCTTATTCACTTCAATCCTAAAGATGGAGGCGGCATATATTTCTGAGATACTGACAACACTGACCACATCTACATGGTGCAAAGGCCCAACAGCAGAATTAACATCAGCATATGTTGGATTTGGGGTTCTTGCAGTAGAGACTATGAAGGGCACTATCTTTTGGAATGTAACATTTTACTGGTCTACACTGCATCACATGACAGAAAATACTGCTCTTCAGCACTACCATAATCTGGATCACTGCAACCCATTTCCCTAAGATTTGTTTCAATATTATCTCCTATTGGAAGTTAGCCTTCCATATGATCATTAAGATCTTAATTTTGGAATATTCTTTGTGCTGCATTTCACTTATCTGACCTAGATCCAAATATACATCTCCTTTTCAGATATGGTATGTCCAATTTCTGTTCTTCCCACAGAATTTTTAAAACATACAAAATAGCAGATGAAAGATACAACGGAGGGTCAGTAAATAAGTAACAAATAGATATAAAACGTAAAACATGTGATATTCGAAGCTGGAAGAAACATTTATTTGCCAACATATCCTCCACCAACATTGATACACTTGTCCCATCACTTTATCAGTGCGTTGAAACCTGCAGCATACAAGTCTTTTGACTGTTGTCTCAGCCACTTCTGCACCTCCGTTTCAACCTCTTCATCATCAGCGAAACATTTGCCAACAAAGTGTTTTTAGCAGATCATACAGATGGAAGTCAGTGGGGACCAAGTATGGGCTGTAAGGTGAATGTTCAAGAAGTTCCCACTGTACAAGTAGTACCTGAATTCTCTCCTGGTTGCTTGGGCTGTGTAGGGCCTGGCATTGTCATGATGCAGTACCCCTCTTGCCAGTTGGCCTGGATGTTTTCTGCGAATTGCATCCTGAAACTTCAACAGAACTTCACAGTGTGATGCAGAATTTACATTTTCACCATGCCTCTGAAAATGGGCTAACAGTACTCCCCAAGAAAACCAAAACACAATAAGCATAACCTTCCCAGCTGATGGCGCAACCTTAAACTTTCTGGTTGAAGGTGAATTGAAATGTTTTCATTGCATTGAATCATACTTTGATTTGGGTTGGTAGTGATGCACCCATCATTCTTCGCCAGTAACAATCATATTAAGTATACCTTCTCCTTCATCTGCCTTCTTGTACCATAAGAGAAGTTGCACAGACAGACCCATTTGGTTCATTTTTTCTCAATCTTTCAGTTCTCACAGCCTATACACACACTTTCTAAAACTTCAAACAGTCCTGCAAAACACTGTATTATAAACCATGGGAACACCCTAGTGCAGTTGCTATACTGTCTATCATTATCCTCATTTCAGCTTGAATCAGCTCTTCCACTGGATGCTTTTGCAATCTCAACAGGGTGACCTGGATGGGCATCATCTGTGACTTTTGAGCAACCATCTGAGAATATCTCGACCCAGTTGTAAACCACTTTATGTGACAAACACTTCCCTCCATAAATGGGAAACATTTCTTAATGAACAATCTTTACATAAAGTCCTTTTGCCCATCAAAAACCCACAACAGAAGGGTGCTATTCTGTAGTAAACTCCCCAAGCACAGTCACCATTTTGACCACTCAAACCAACCTCTGAACATGCACATGTGTTTCTGCTACCTGGATTGTCATGAAGCTGGACTGTACTGCTACCTAGTGATACAGTACATATAGAAAACCTATTACATCCATTATATCTGTTTTACTTCCATTTGTGACCTATTTACTGACTTTCCCTTGTAGTTAATGCAGTTTAACCTTAAATTTTCTGAAAATGCAGAAAAGTACTGATATTTCAAAGTGTGTGAATATGGGTGTAAAACTTGGCCTCTCAAAGGAAGGAGTAAATGGAAACAGAATGCTTAGGAGAATATTTTTGATCTAAGAGGAAGTAAAAGAATGTTGGAGAAAACTGCATAATGAGGACCTTCATAATCTGTACTCTTCGCCAGATAAATTTAGGACAGTCACATCAAGGGGAGAAATGGATGGGATATTAGATATGAGAAACATATCCAACACTGTAGTTGGAAATCCAGAAGAAAATAGACCACTTGGGAGACCTAGGCTTAGATGGGACCATGTGAATATGTGAGGTAAGAGAGATGATAGTGGCATTTAATGTAGGTAAGATGAGGTAAAGGTGCCCCTCTGCTTAATTAATCATTATGCAACAAAGATATAAAGATATATGGGGGAGTGGAGATAATAGTTCTGTCATTCCTCACTTAGGAGCTAGGTGGAGATGAATGGTCAGCTTCATGCCCCAGCCAATTTTTGTTTGTTTGATGACAAACTAATGATAGACTGGAGCTAGGGCAATTCAATTTTAAATTAACACCAACTGTAAATATAGTCCCATGTTAGTGACTAGACATAGGGTTTGGGCTGGTTATTGAATTATTTGAATGCTTATGGCTCTATGAAGCACTATAACACACACTGCATATTTTCAGTTTGTTCTGTTTTCATGGATCTTGTTTGGTAATGGCTTCTAACAGCAGAGATTCCTCTGCTTCCATGCTCACAGCCAACCACAAACTGCAACTGCTGACTCACAACTCACTATTAAATTCAAAATAGCAAAGATGTGAAACCTTGGAGTTACAGGAGGCAAATTTAAACAAATCAGAATCTCTCTTAGTAGAAATTATGTATACAAATGTTTATTAAATTGTATAATTATTAATTTAGAGTAGCTGCTAGTGTCACCATGTAGACTGAAGCTCTCAAAGGAAGACAGGTATCATAAAATTTCCCCAGAACATCTTGTTTCATGAAAGATTGTATTATCTTTGGATAAAAAAAGTGGATGTTATTTACTCATATCCTCTTAATTTGAAACCTGGGTCATATACATTTTATGGCTTAAAAGATGAAAGTAGAATAAAGCAAATATAATGAAATAAAATTTGTACATGAAGAGGTACCAGTCCGACATGCCAGTATAAAATCTGGCAACCATACATAACCGGTACTAACTCTTCTGTAGACAGAGAACTGGATCTACGGTAAAAAATGTAGTATTATTTAGACCATTTGGTGAGATTTCTGATGATATTACTGAAATATGGCTTTATTTTTCCATTTTATTTATATCTGTTTAGGTTGGCAAGATGTGCCTGTGGTTGCAATGGAAACATTTGGTGCTCACTGTTTCAACCTCTCTGTCAAAGCCAAGAAAATAGTGGCACTTGAAAAAATTACAAGGTAATATCTCTCTCATATCCACTTCATTATTAATATTCATTAACCTTTTCAGTGCTAGATTTCCTCATGAATAAATATCCCTACATTAAAATGCTTTCACTTGAATTTTATGAACTGCAGGCTACAGGCTAAAACATTTATAGATTCTAAAGGGTTCTGACAAAAGTTTATAACATTCAGAATTACTGGATTTATCCAGTGATTGAGGTTAGCTCTTTCTAGGGGACCAAACAAAGTAGGTATTTTACCTCCCTCCTCACCTGAGGATGGAAACAGATCCAGTTTCCGAAATGTTTTTTCTAGCTTCTAGAATACCGGATGACGGACAAAGTCCAAAAACCCAGTAATTCTGAGTAAAACATTTATCATGATACCAACAACATGGCACTACACTACTGACAATATTTTTCATCAATAATAGTAAAAGGTAAAGTTGTCCCTGTGCTTAAATAATTAAGCACTATGCCATGAAGGCGTGTGGGGGAGTGGATGTATAGACCCACATTTTCTTGACCTAAGCACTAGTTGGAGGTGACTGGTCAGCTTCACGCCCCGGTTGCTTTACCCCCAGGGAAAGAGCCCACAGTACCCATTGGATAGGAAGTTGGGTGGACCACAGAGCCAGTCTGGACGACGTGGAGAAGTGAAAATTCTTGACCTTAAAGGGACTGAAAACTCTGAAAGCGCAGTCATCCAGCCAGTAGCCAGTCACTATACTGACTACGCTATTCTAGTTCCATTCATCAATAACAGCGCGAAGACTAAATGACTGTCATATATAGGACATACTATAATTACAACAAAGTGTAGTCATAATCAAGCAGAATCATGTTGTGCTGTCTATCTTGATAGCCACTTTACCTCAGTCCATTAAGTCAGATTTTGAAAACTCTACTGCAGTGAACCAAAAGAGGTCATGTGGGTGGGATTATAAATCAAATAAAAATACTTTAATGTCCAGTAAACCTGGCTGTATTGAGACTCATATTCAGAGGGTTTCCTTTTTCTAGATCCTGCAGGAACTTTCATCATTTCAGCACACCAACCACAATACATTCGTATTCTGAATTATCAAAAGCTGCATCTGCATTAGTTTCTAATCATGCCAAAAACACAGAAGCGTTTGGTGCTAAACAACATATAAAAAACGATAGAAAGACATCATACTTATATGGTTATCTGCTGTGTTATTTTCTGTTTCATTCAGTATTGCCAAATGTTTGGGTGCACGCACTGTGGCACCTCATCTTCTAGAAATACTTCCACACTTCAACATCATCTCTGAAGTTGTTACAGATGCACAGGCTGTCAGGAGCTGTATAAAGTTTGCAGGTTTGTTGCATGTTGTCTTTCTGTACTAACATCTAGGGTACACCTTATAAGTTCAATAATTCAAGAAAATCTTCATTGTTATAAAACCTGGAATTTCATTACCATCTTAACATTTATTTTCACACCTATTTGAATGTTATACTCCAATTTACATCTTAGTCTGGGGGTCCATATGCACTTCTTGTCTCATATGCATAGACACATCTTGCTTACATAAATATCCTTGACAAGTACAAACTATGAAGTTCACGGCTGTTGCTTAATTGTAGGTCCATGTTAAACACCTTCCTTCCTACATAAAACATTAAGCAATAAGAATTTATTCTTAAATTGCACAAGTATAAAGGTAAAGCTATCCTTGCAACAGGCTGTCTAGGCTCCCATATTTTCTAGAATCAGCTTACAGATGGACACTCTCTATATAAAAGTATCCAGTGTACTGTCACTCCACAGCTAGAGAAGCAGAAAGCTTTTGAATCACACAGTTATACAGCTTCCAGAAGTTTTATATTTGTAAAGAAAGTTTAACAAATTTGATTCTTCACTTGCATTACATACATTTCAGCTCACAATCATTTGGATCATTAACACTGCGAAACTGCAGTATACAGGGGCTATCTATACAACTTAACAAAATAAAACACAGTAATGTCAGGATTACTTTATTGTGGTTATACTGTATACCAATACATGTTTTGGTGTTAATAGATCATCATCAGGTGTTTTGAAATAAATAAATATTTATGGAGTCATTGAATTGTGAGTTAATGTTAAAATGAATTTAAATAAAATGGATCCATTTTTCACATTGAGATATGTGCTATATTTAGGTATTAAAAAGTTAAAATCCTTTAAAATTCAGGACAAGGTTATGTGTGGTTATATGTATAATACTGGCATAATGGGGGTCAGTGTTGTGTGTGGTTAGATGGGTGTGTGCATGTGTTTCTGTGTGTTTTAATCATGAATTTCTTGTTGCCTGGAGGAGTTGATGTGGCCAGGTGACAGACGTGGATGTATGGTATTTGTACATTGTTGTTGGTTATCTTACAAGGTTTATACATTTGGATATGTGGCTGTTTCAAAACTGTGCTGAATCTGTTAGTTCGAAGGTAATATGTGGGTAGTCCTGAGTGATGTGTCCAAACCCTGGTTGCTAGTCTGTGAGGTTAGTTTTTGAGTCATGGCTAAGGTGTGGCTGCTTGTAGTGTTATGAAGCATCTGAAGTGGGTTGGATACATGCTGCATGTTGTCTGAGAAACTGCTCAAGATCAGAGAGGAGTGATTGTTCGTCATAATTCAGCAGTGCACTGAGATGGAATTTAAGCCTGTTGAGTGATACAAGATGGACTGAAAAAGCAACTGTGGACAGCTGATGACTGGTCCTTCACCTTCGTAGTTGGATAACCCCTAACTGTAAAAATTAACATCTTAAGGAATGTTACACACAGCCTTGCATTTAGACAGGATTTTTGCAATGATCTATACACAGCAAAAATTAGTGACATGTATGAGAATCTTTCATATTACATTGAATGTGGCTTAACTGTTTACAGATGATGAACATATACTAGTGGAACCTGGGTGTGGAGCTACATTATCAGCTGTATACTGTGGTGTACTGGAGAAACTACAAACTGAGGGGGTTCTTCCACATTTGACAATGGGTCCAGTTGTTGTTATTGTGTGTGGAGGAAATAGTGTCTCCCTCTCTCTTTTGAAAGAGTGGGCTGAAAATTTTAATGTTCCATTCCCTTGACCTTAAATTAAACAGATAACTCAGAGCCTTCATTGAGAAGCTAACAGTCACTCAAAAAATCTCATGTGTTCTATGGAACCTATTGTTCATCCCCATGTTCACAAGAGTTTACCAATTGTCTTATACTTCATCCAGATGAATCCAGTTAAATTCCATTCGACCCTATTTCTCTGAGATTTATGTCTATGTCTTCAAAGTGGTCTCTTTCTTTCAGGTTTTACAACCAAATCCTTGTATGTATTCTTCATGTTACATGTGATATATGTCCCACCCACCTCATCCATGTTTCCCTAACCATATTTGGTGAAGACTACAAATTAGGAATGCAGTGCAAAATTGCAACAAATTTTTGGGCTTTGAATCAACCTAAGTATGACATGTTTGGTAAGGTGTGGTAATGTAGTTAAAGAGGACTGCAGAATATTTCAGAGATTTATAGCTATACAGGCAAGTAACTGCATCAACACTGTGGTAAAATTCTCGTTTTGCAAAATTATTCTTTATTAGGGGGTAAGAATGTCAACTCCAGGACAGTCACCCATACACACAGGTGATTTTGGAGAGAGACATTCAGAAATGTAAAGGTAACAGTAATATAAGCTCAAGAAGAAGCTAAGCATGGGTTCTAGCTACTGGTTGCCAAACATCAGCTTCCCAGTGGCCAGTCAGTACACTCAAAGCCTGATTAGTCATAAACACTGTTGGCTTAGCTATCATGAATTACACAGATTTTTTTTTTTAATTTGCTTAGTTGGGGGTGGAGTCCTACTGGGTCCACTAGGCATAGCGGCCACTGATTGGCCTACTGTAGTCTGCCCCGGGTCATTATGATGATGGAGAATTTGGTGGAATGAAGATTGGCAGGGGAACTGAAGTACTCGGAGAAAACCTGCCCCAGCACCACTTTGTCCACCACAAATCCCATTTAACCAGACCCGGGATCGAACCCAGGCTGCCGCGGTGGGAAGCCAGCGACTAACCACTTGAGCTATGGAGTGGTCTAATTACTCAGATAGCTATGTCAACTGTGTTAATGGTGAGTAGAAACACTGAGTAAGCAGTGTTTGGCAAAACACGATATTGCTTGTGCTTACATTATAAATACTGTAGACAAGAAAGTGTTGCCTTATTTGGTGATGGTAATCCAGAAAGATTCAGTAGATTGTGCAACTCCCATGATCCAGCCTTCCTACCCCAGCAGACAGGCAGAGTTTAAGTTTCCTTTCCTTTACCACTGTGTGGGCAGCAATAAACTGCACATATTACACCAGGGGTTGGTGGCAGTTTTGTTACCAAAGTAACAAATGATGACAGTGAGGAAGGACCTGTTTAGGCATTTTCTTCCTTTTCCAAAAAATGTAAATTTAGGCATTAATGGAATATGTAAGAGTTGAGGTTTTTATAGTGGTGAGAATTTATATTTTGTTTTTTGAGGTTGTGATACTAGGTAATCTTGTAGATGATTACCAATATCTCCACTCTGAAGATGGGGGCATTAAGTTCCTACAAAACACTGGTAACCACTTACAAGACAAGAAAGTTTCCTAACCCAGAAGACCACAATCTCAATTTATGAAAGATGGTTGGGATTTAACACAACAATGCTAAATTTCATGTGTTAAATACACTATATTTTAGAAACTCAAAAGGCCCTATTGTAGATTGAAACTTTTTTGAGCAAAACAGTATCACAATTACAAACAGTCACAAAAGCTTCACATGTAAATCTTCATGTGCTGGAAGACAAAGAACTGCACACCTGACTAAACTGAAAACTATTAGGATAGTCCAAATTACAAAGACAGACATTACTGCCATCTTAAGTGGCTAAACATAATTTTTATGGCATTTCTCCAGAGTGTTAAAATCAGGATAATGCTAATCACAAATAACAAAATATAATTTATATACATCACAAATAATTTATGATAAATAATGAATGCAAAGTACAATACGAGAAATATCAGTATAATTATATACTCTTAAATTTACAATTACATACCACATTACACAAATTTTTTCTATACAATCTAAAATCATAAACTCGTCTGAATTCAATACATTGCGGTTAAAAACATTTACATGTCACAATCTTTCATCAGCCATTCCTGACACTGACAACAATATAACAAACACAAAGGACTAACACCATTTGTGCTTCTCTGATTAAAACTCACTTCTATTGTTACAATAGTAAAATCTCAGTTATCCATCCATTACCTTATTAAACAGCAAGTTTTATTTCTTTCATTTTAGCATGTTTTGATACCCATAAGAAAGAAATACTGTGCTCTTGCAATTTAACTGAGAGTCTCCAATGACTTCTTTGCAAGTAGAGGAATAATACACCCTGTACTAACATTGCAACCAAAACTCTTTCCCGCTCTGAAGGTTTTTCAACTTATAGCTTTTCTTACAGTGCGTAGTCTGGACATGATACCACACTTGCCATAGACTTGTTTCATAGATGTTATTTCCAAGCCCTAAATAAATCTTAAAAAAGTAAAACCCTGCAACATACCAATATTCCAATGTAACAGGGTTACCAAACTCTGCCTGAAGCATTGTTTGAATATTATATATTCACTCAAAATTTCTACATAGGTCTTTATAAAACATATAGTCTGTGTTATTCAATTTAGAATTATATTACAAAATTAATTAAAATCTGTTTATCTACAGGAGTGTGTATACATACAGATGCACAAATACATACAAGAAAGGTACCTTGAAACTCCCATTTAAGGTTTCCTTTGGAAGTAGTTGGTTTGAACACTAAACTGAGGGAAACTTTAAGCAGAGGAAATTTAACATATTACTGACTTGGGATGACTGAAACTGAATGTTAAATGAGAGAAAATCTTAAACCAACAGACATTAAATAAATGGAGATTCCACTGTAATATGTGCTCAAGTATAGTGTTATGGACAATTGTCATAAATGTCTGTGATATTCTTCAGCTGTCTTAATCAGCTCATCTTATTGTCTACAAAAAAAATGCTGTTCATCATAAGCAAAAAATGTCCTAATACAAAAGTAAACATTTCAGCAAGATGCATTCATTTGTTTACTCACATTAATAGAAAAAGTTATCAATTTTGTGGCAACTAAAGAACACTTGTAGCAATGCAAATTAATTTTGGCATTATTATGAAACAATTTATTATTACTGTTTCAATATAAGAAACTCTGGCATAACAAAATTATTTTGACGATTCACAAGTTTGTTGGAATGATATTCTACTGTATATACCATACAATTTTTCAGAATGACTGGGGGTTTGGACTTTTTCCATCGTCTGGAATTTTAGGTAATAGAGGACATGACATTTTGGAAACTAGATCTGTTTCTGTCTTCAGGTGACAAAGACACCTATTCAGATGGGCCCCTTAGAAAGAGCTCCTTTTCACCTGAAGATGGAAACAGATTCAGTTTCCAAAACATGTCCTCTATTACCTAAAATTCTGGACAATGGAGAAGTCCAAAACCCCAGTAATTCTGTGTGTCACTCACCATCAGCAGAACCCTGTAGATTCTACATATAATTTCTGTCACTTCATAGTAACATCTTTCATTTTCAATTCCATGTACCTTCTATATGGATCATGTATTTGCAATACCTATGCAGTGTGTACCAGTGCATAATTGCCAACAGAAATAAACTTACTATTTGTTTCCTGCATATACAAATACCCAATCACTAAGGCTCAATGTTATCTTATCTGCTCGATCATGTTACATAGCATCCTGAATTAACATATAAAAAGCTGTCTTTAAGACTAATGCCAATAACATGTTTGTAAAAAAGAAATACAGTTGTTACAGGTTCCAACGTTTATATTTAATACTTATTCAGAGCAGCAGTTTTCATAACACTTTTCAAATTATATGACTTATTTCTTGCAAAAGATTAGATATTCAAGTTTCATAAAACAAAGTCTGATTTATAAACAAAGGATTATTCAGATGATGAAGTGCTTTAGGTTCACTAAGCGTATGAAATTGTTTTTTTGTAGTCCAATTTCAATTAAGGAGGCTTCATACGATTTTATCTCTATTTTAAAACATTCTACCATGGCAGGCAGGAGCTGGGATAGTGCAGTCAGTACAGTGATTATCTATGGGCTGGACAATCAAGGGGTCAGAGTTTGAGTCCCTGTAGGGTCAAGAATTTTCTCTTCTCCATGTTGTCCAGACCAGCTCTGGCATTCACTCAACCTCCTATCCACTCACCTCCAGCTAGTGCTGAGGTCAAGAAAATGTGGATTTATACTTCCACTCCCCCATATGACTTCATGGCATAGTGCTTAATTAGTTAAGTACAGGAACAACTTTACCTTTAACTACTATGGTAGGCATTTGCCACATTGTTCACCCACAGGCTGCATGACTGTCAGAAGCATGAATTTACATATGTCACCCTTGCTTGTATTTTTGTTCCCAATCCTCTAACAGAGGGCTTTCACGTAGCAAAATATTGTACTTAGGAAGGTCTACAACTCTGGAATATTTGATAAGATTATATCAAACACCTAAATGACAGTGAGCTGTAATGAGCACAGGTAATTTAAGATTGGTGCTCATGGCCTTGTTTTGCATGAACAAAATAAAAGGATCAAATCAGGTCTAGGGCACTGGTCATCCTACTCTTTAATCACAATGACCAAATATAGCCTGCACTTAAAAAACTTCTGGCTTATGAATTCAGTGAGGCAATTTTTCAGACTGATAGAAGACCCAGTGAGGCTAGGAAAACTCTTCTTAGAGAAACAGCATGATAGAATAAACTAACTGCCTTAGCTGACCACTCTGTTTCAAAACCATAATCTTTATCTCGATTTTTCCAAGAATATGAATATCATATTAACAAAATTCATTTGTAGATAATGGCACCAAAATAAACAAAGATAATATCCAAAATCAATTATGGAATGCATCTAAATAAGAATATACCAAAATGCTGTCAATCTGTCTTGCACTTACTAAAAGAATGGTGTATGAATAATTACAAGTAGCCTACAACATGTTCAAGAACTATTATAAATTTCAGTACCTCAACATGGATCAGACTTCTGTTATATTCATGACAAAACTGACTGTAGCACAGAACCTGCAGAAGAAAAGTCCATCCACTTTATAAAAGCAGTGGTATACATACCATGATTTTTCAATAAACAATGATTAATGTAAGTAAAACTGTCTGACTTTCATCACTTATGTGAAACAAATATCACTACAGCAAATACATCACCATTTGCTTCCACAGAATGTAGTATGTACTTCATAAGCAGCAAGAAGAATGTGTGAACATCAAACATTCAAGTAACTTATGATGCAAACAACAACAAAACTCACTAGGTAATTTAATTTCTTTTTAAGGCATGTGTTCCCAAACTCATGCATGTAACATCAATGGCATTAACATTTCTGTCAAAATATAGAAACTGCACTTGAAGAAAACCATTACCCCACTGTCAACTAACACTGTCACTGTGATGCGGTTTGCCATCCTGCCCTTACTGCTGTACAACATTTCCAAGACATTTTGTAGTTCACTTTTAGTGTGTGCCAGTATTCTTTCTTAGTCATCAACAGATGGCAACCTTATGCTTGCATGTGTCCTTCTTTGACCAGTTTTATTTACCGATGTACATGAAAGATCTAAAAACGAGAAAACACAGCAAAAGGTATGATTTGCTATCATTTAAATGCAGCAGTGAGAATAGTGAGCATGGTGCTATTTAGATGTCTTGTTCACTTTGTCACTGGAGTCAGTTCCCAATTAGTGTTTCTGGGCAGACAAAGCTGCTGTGACTGAACACAGCATCAATTTGGGACACCGCATTCAGCTTCAGAATACCTCCATCCTCACCACGAAGATCCGATATATGGATCGCATCATTAGGAAGGCCATTGGGATTGAACTCCATCGTCACAATATGAACAGAGAGGTAGAGTTTTGTCTTAGCAAGTCATGGAAGCCTCTCATCTGTTCCCTCAAGAAACCTCCGGGACACGACACCAGGTCCACAAGGCCACAGAGGTCCATACCCAACTCACTTCGCAACCCCCAAGCTTCAGGGTTATTGACCTCCATTTGACCTTGCCTTCTCTCCCCCGACACATATACTCTATACATGCTCTGGTCTGCTACCCACTGGCCCCCCTTCCCAGATCCTTCCCCCCCCCCTTCTTCCCATTCCCCATGTAGCTCCTCTCCCTTCTCTTCCTGCTCTTATACAGCTGGATTTACTCAACTGGACTCAGTCTGTTGCTCCTGCTCATGCTGGTTCACTCGTGGATTTCTTCTTGTCTTCTACCCTGAAGATGGAGGCGACACGTTCCTCTGAAATGTCGGTTAACACAATATCTACATGGCGCCACATCCCAGAAGACTGCCTTCTTCTCAGAACATATCCTTCTCAAAGGTCTATATCTAAGTCACACTATTGGCTCCTTTTCATAAAAATGATAAATTGAACACAGCATATTATGTTCTCATTGCAGCATATGTCTGGGCCCTTGCTCTGGTACAGTAACGTCCAACTGTTTTTAGCACATAGACCACACACACTGGAAAAACGAATATCCTCACAGCCATGACCCAAGATGTTCCATTGAGATTATGGGCTAGCAGGTAACACCCAGCCACAAGGTTGGGCTTTAAAGAGTCACACATGATGCATGGCACTTTCTATTACAGTAGAAATCTGGTCCTGTGTTGGGTAACATTAACATGGTAGAGGTGTACAAAGAGAGAGAGGCAGACAGCTTGGTAATTAAACTCACATGCAGGTCGGGATAAGACGACAAAGACATTGCATCAGGATGAGCAATACAGCAGTTGTAGTATGCTGTAGTCTTACTCAGAGACTTCAGAACAGTGTTATGCCATACTGCCCTCATCCTTGACACTCGTTTATTTAAAAGAGTATAGGAACTGCAAATTGTAATCTCTTTTCCCCTGACAAGTTAAACATTTAAAATGCTTTTACATGTGTATGTGGATTATACTAAGATGATGTCATTGTAACATCAAATTTAATACTGATGAGATGCCCATTTAACAAAAAATCACAATTTCATTTTTAAGATAAGAAACATTTTTACATATATTAAAAACTTCACACATATCATATCATCAGTGTTAAAATAAAATACAGTCAACTCCTGAATATCCAGATTAATGAAGGGGACGAGATGCATGAATAACTGGAGGGGGGGGGACACCATGGATAATTAAAACATATTTTGGGGATACTGAGCAGCTGAACTTTGTCCATCATGTGGTATTCTAAAGAATACACTTTGGAAACTGTAACTGTTTCCAGACTGTTGTGTTCTTTAGAATACCAGACAATGGATAAAGTCCAAAATTTCTGCAGTCTTGTGTATTATGGATCATCATCAGAACCCTTTAGAACTGTCAAGATATTTTGTTCAATATTCTTATAAACTGTCCCATTGCTCAACTCTCTTCACATATTATTTCACACAACTGACAATTACTTTGAAAAATAGTCAATAATAAGTAGATTCTATAGAGTTCTGACAAAGGTGTATGACAGTCAGGGTGAATGGGTTTTTGGACTTTGTCCCTTGTCCGGTATTCTAAAGAACACAACTTTTAGAAACTTGATCTGTTTCCATCCTAAAGTGAGGCGGTGAGAGATCCATATTCTGTTGGGTCCATTAGAAAGAGTTAATCCCAATCACTGGACATAAGGACAGAAACAGATCTCGTTTCTGAAACGTTGTGTTCTTTAGAATAGTAGATGACTGAGAAAGTCCAAAAATCCAGTAATCCTGATAGTCCATAATGTTTCAGATTTGAGGATGTCATGACAGTAAAGATTTAGATTCTGATCTTCCAGGTAAGTGGTTACCAATGCTTCACTTCTACCTTGAAGAAGGCAACAAAGATACTCTGAAAGGATGGTAACCACCTACCACACTGCATGGTGTCATGACCCACAAGACAACAGTCTGAAGTCCATTTGTTAAGCTTATGAGCAGTTAAGACTTCTCTTCATGACAGGAGAATCTTTCCTTGAAAACTCTAATACCAGAGTATTCAAACCCTTACCAACCCATGTAGTCTGTACTGCCCCACAGTGCTTGAGAAAAGAAGCATGCCAAAGGGATGGTACAGCAGATACAAGCCAATGGAAAAGTAAACTGCACAAACACTTAGCTTATTGAATATTTGTAAAACTAACAAATAAAGAATATGTTATTCTTGTACACTGTTAATAAACATAATGCTGGTTTTATGCAAAAATATATATTTAACATAACCAGTCAACGTGAAAGCATGCCACTAGTTGGAATAGTTCATGTTTTGTCTGTTGTTCAGTTACTATCATAAGGGATGGGGCATAATAATCCAGCCCTTTCACTGCAACCTTCCAATGATCTATTGTGCTTACATATTATCAATCATGCTTGCATGAGATTCTAAGTGACAGCATATGTTAAACAGATTATCCCAAAGTGACCTGTTACACACTGTTTCCAGTTCTTTACTGTCTGTTTCAACTATTACTGTTGAGTTACATTCATATAGACCATTAATATTTGTAAAGAAGACTGATGTTTTCACAAGTACTCTTATCTACCATCCAGAAATCATGCTAGTTTTTGAACTGTTGGCTTAGCACAATGATTGAATAGTTGGCCAATTGGCCATTTTGTTTGAATGCATTTGTTTCTCCATGATCACTGTGCCTAGAAGCCTAGTAGAAAGTCCAGTGGCCAGTGAGTGAGCTAAAAGAAAGTAATGTGCATTGAGTATGAAATGAGAAAAAGGTGCTTCCATGAAAAAATTAATTGCAGGATACATGGAAGGGGCATCTACCATATATCCATATAGTAAAACTGTAGGAGAAACACTACTAGTAATTTGCAGTATTACTGTTAGACTATCTTTATCCTGTTCACACATACTTATGTTTGTGAAGATGTATGAGAGATACAGAACAAACAAACTGAAGAGATCTAGGATGTCATGCTATGTGGTCCATTAAGTCTATTGTCATTCCTCTGAAATGTCGGTGTACGTCTATCAGACCACATAGCATTTCATCCCAGAGGACAGTCACAACTGTGAGGACTTCAGATCTAGTAAATAAGAAATTATGCAGAGCCAACTGCAAACCAGACAATACATGGTCAAAGAACTGATTTCCTGTAAATAGCTACAACACTTGAGATATGGCTAATGACAGGGCCTGATTCAAGTGAAATCCCTGTCTCTTATCCATTTTAAATAGTTTATACAGAAATATTATTAATATACAGTAATGCTGAAAATGAATATTTGTTACTGAAATCACAAATGTAAATTACATTGATACTATGAGACTTTTAAAACTCAAAATCTGTAAAAATAACTGTTGCCTATTATGTACTACAGATATGAATGATATCCAGTAAAAAACTGCAATCCTTCATCAGGAAATATTGATACGATTCAAGGATTAAAAACTGTCATTTATGTGTGTGTGTGTGTGTTTTTTCTTTATATTAATTCATGTCCAGTCTATGTCACTCAAGAGAAGATTTGTACATTCGCACAATAAAAAGATAAACATTAAATAAATTAAGCTGCACAGATGATCTGATTATCTTCCTGTTCCAGTCCTGTCACACAGTGCTGAACCATGCCGCTTTTTATAACTACATAAAATTCATTTACTCCATGCAGCAGGGTCGGTAACAGTCTCTTAGCTAATCAAGAAATTTACCACAATTATTGTGTTTCTGGACATTATCCACTGTCCTCCTTTTACACTTTTATATAAAAAACACAACCCTTCAAAGATTGGATTCTGCCTCCGTCTTCCGGTGGAACCTACTCAGTTGAACCTAACTGATAAAGCTAGTCCCTACCTCCAGACACCAGCACCCACACAAGATAGGATACATAAACCAAGCACAGCATAAACCATCTGCGAGAGTTAAGACAAACATTAAAAAGCTCCATACACAAGGCTGAGCACCTATATCCACACACTATTTCATGGCTACTCTTGTTAAAATCACGGTACTATCATAATAGAAGTCATCACTAAACGTCAAAGAGACAAATTCTCTGTATGGTACTAACATAAAGAAACAATTTTACATATAATCTTCACTGGACAGAGTTGTAGTAATGTTATGTGTTTTAAATAGAAACAAGACAATGGACAATGTGCAGGAACACAACAACAGTATTAATGTATCACGATCACAAACTTTTAGAAGAAAATTACCATCTTTCACGGAAACTGAAAGTTCACAAGAGCCACCACTGACCAATTTTTGTATAATCTGAGAAAACCATCCATCTACTTTCAGCACAGCATTAGGACAACAAAGTACTACGCTAGGGACGGACTGTCAGTACCACTACCACTGCCGCCGCCACCAGCACTCAAGTCCCGTGCTGCTAACAGCATTTGTTTCTTTCCACTTTTTGACAACGTTGCCACTTCCTTTTGCAGTGTTTTAATTTTTAGTAACAGAGTTTCCACTTTATTTTCATGTTCCTTTTGTATGTTTTTCATCTTGTTTCGAAGTTCATTCTCAACTGTGAAGTGTTTAGCTTTTAATTCTGTGATCTGGAAATCAGAAGAACTGGCATTATTGCTAAAGTTAAATCAAAAACATCTGTTATGTGTTCATGTGATGGATGATCAAAATGTAACATGACACAATCCTGATTCTGAAAATTAAGGAGATGCAATAAACAGTGGTTAATTTAAAGGTTTAAAATTGTTCATTCTGAGAAATCTGCCTACATGCCATCAGCAGGAACACCTGTATATAATAACTCTACCAGAAAAATGGTTGTGAGAAAGTTTCAACCTCCCAAGTCCAAAGCCTGAGTTATTAGTGTTACAAAATTTAATTCATAAAAATAACAAAGCAATGTTTCCAAATTTTTCATGTCTTAAAAGTGTATTATACAGAATGTTAAATGATAGAGGAAACCTGGCAGCAGTGTACAGTGGACATAACATTTCTCACAGACTGCTGACTGGTTGAGGCACTATGCTTCAAGCAGGAAGGTCGCAGGTTCAAGTCCTGATGAGATCATTGGATTTTTTCAATTGACTTAATCCTTCCAGCCGCACTATGGCCCTGGGGTTGACTCAGCCTCCAACAGAAATGAGTACCAGGAATATTCTTGGAATATTCTTGGGGGTAAAGGGCAGTGGGCGCATAGGGCTGACAACCCTGCTGCCATCTATGAGTCGATTGTCTAGAAAATGTGGGAACCTCAACATCTCACAACCCTATGGGCCTCCAAGGCCCGTTAGAGGAATACATTTATTTTACTTTACTTTACTGCTGCTGTAAATGCAGACAGCAGAATGAGTCATTAGCACTGATAAACATCCGCCAGCAGGTGGTCTGAACGTGTCACTTCAGCAAATCACATTAATAGTCAGTCTTTGTTAGAGATGTTGATACGTGGTCAACATTTATATTGAAATGAAGTTCACTGTTGAAGAGCGCGTTTACTTAAAAACTTTTGCAAGGAAAAAAACTTACAGAAAATGTATCTGTAAGTTTTGTCCTAAATATCCTGACTTGCCAGTTCCCACAAAGTAATGTGTATCCAAGTTTGTGAAAAAGTGGCAGGCCACAGGTTCAGTGTGTGACATAAAGAAACAATCGAAGAGGATTGTGCTCACTGAAGAAAAGGTTCGGGATATTGAGGCACAACTATAGATCAGTCCTCAAAAATTGTTAGGACGCTTAGCAAGGAAACTGGCGTTTCACTAGGATCTGCTTTCACAGCCACAAAATCAATCAAATTTCGCCCTCATAAAATAACAGTTGTGCATGAGCTGAAATAACCAGATTAGGCAGCAATAATTTGCTTTTTTCAACTGGTTGCACAATGCAATCGTGGATCCACAGCTTCTGTTCATGAATGATGAAGTGTGGTTTCACGTTAGTGGTCATGTCAATGCACAAAATGTAAGAATATAGAATGATAAAAATCCTCACGCTATACAGCAAGTGCCATTACATAGTAAAAAGGTGGGGGTGTGGCACGCTGTCCATGGCGATTCATTGGCCCTTTATTTTTCCATGAAACCGTGAACTCTGGCCACTACGTTAATGATACACTGAATCCATTCTTCAACCAGTTGAAAGAAAGACAATACAGGTATTTTCAACAAAACAATACTACAGCAAACACGGCTAATGCAATCATGTTCACAATATGGGAAGTGTTTGAAAACAGAATAATCAGCAGAGGACTGTGGCCTCCCAGATCTCAGCTTTTGCGAGTTTTATCTTTGGGGAAATCTGGCAGGAAAAGACTACAAGAATAATCCTTGCAGCACTGAAGCTCTGCAGAATGAAATAACAAGCATAATTGGTTCAATTACCATGGATCAACTTCAGAAAGTGTTGCATCATTTATTTATGCGATGCAAGGCATGTTTGCAAGCAGAAGGGGGTTACTTTCAGCACGGTAAGTTTGTGTTATCTTTTTACGGTATACTTATAAATGTGTGCATGTACAGAAACTGATGTGAGGGACTCAGCGACATGACTGCATTCTCGATAGCGTGGAAGGGCACAGTAGTTGCAGAGAAACATTCCATCTGCTCTATGCTGTTGTCATGTTTCCTCTATGGCTGAACACTCTGTAGTTAGAATATCACAGAGTATAATGACTGATCTTGTGACTGCAGGCTCCAGAATATTCTTAGATGGAAAATTAGCAATGCATTTCTTTGTAGCGCCATCCTCTCCTTCAAGAAACTTCATACTGAAAAATCATTCTCTGGAAATCTTAAGAAATGCAGGCAGAAATAATTTTTATGTAACCACAATATGAAATAAATGACTTACACTTTCTAATTTCATGTATTATAAAAAAACAAGGCGGGAATTATCATTTCTATAACATGCATACTTCTAGATCCTATGGTTTCTTCATGTTTGCTCCTAAATACTCAGCCGTCCCTTGTCACACTGTGCCAACAACAAAACACATAAAAAACCTCAACTACATTTCTTACCATTCTATCTTTGCTTAATAATTGAGAATCTTTCTGATTTAACTGTTTCTGCAGAGAAGCAATCTGCTCCTTCAGCTGAGTCATGGCAACCACATGGTCTGATGAGTTCGGATCATGTGGATCGCCTCTATTGTTGCCTGCTCCAGCACCTCCACGGGATACTTTGGTTGGTGGACCTCCCTCTCCACCATCTTTCTCTCCACTGGGTTGACTTAATTTTGTAACATCCACCCGGTGTGGGCGCTTGTTGTGGCCCTTGTGCCTGTAGAAAACAATGTCTTTCATCTTGTGACTCAGATCACAAAGAAAATGAGTATTGGAGAGAGTCATAAACCTACCTTCCCATTCCAGATTTCCAGTTCTACAAATATATTGTTGTTGGTGTCTTATTTGGTTAATGAAAATTTATAATCCAACAATAAAATGCAATTTAACTCTAGGGCTATCTTGTTGGACTTGTACACAGATGGTCATATGACCAAATCCTAGGTAAATCAAATTCTTATTGCCTGGAACTGTAAATATATTACATCTGATTTTAAGGCCAGTCATATCATGGGGAATTGAAAACTTAGATAAATATGTTGCATCTAAGCGAACATGTTCTTGATTCTATTCAAGACAAGAGATAACACATCCCTCCAGAACAGCCTTATTCCCTTAAATACTTCAAAGGGAAATCCACAATTTTTACGACACAGTAATAAATTATTACAATAATAACAATGATCTTACAACATTCAAAATTAAATGTTCAATCAGTGTGCAAAAATGTAATCTGAAAACAGTTCTGTCACATCCTTACAGACAGGACAATAAGTCAAGTTATTGGGAAGGCTGGTGTAGCAGCAATGCTTTCAACTTGTATTTGAAAGGTGCTTGGTTCAAATCTCAGCTGGGACATTGACTATAATCACTGAGTTTATTGGTTTTCCTCAGTCTCGCCAGGCAAATTATGGAATAACAACACAATTATGCCATGCCTGCTTCATTAGGTCCTTTCCAATTGGTCAACCTTGATGACATATAGTCTAGACATTAGCAACACCGTAATATAACCCACAAAAAAGGTCAAGTTGAAGAGCACGTATGGAAAATTATTTTACCTCTAATATATAAACAGGGAAGGAGCCGGGATAGTGTAGTCGGTATAACAACTGGCTATGGACTGGACGACCAAGAGGTCGGAGTCTGAGTCCCAGTAGGGTCAAGAATTTTCACTTCTCCATGTTGTCCAGACCGGCTCTGAGGTCCACACAACCTCCTGTACAACAGGTACCAGGGGCTCTTTCCTGGGGTAAAGTGGCCGGGGCGTGAAACTGGCGACTCACCTCCAACTAGTGCCGAGGTCAAGAAAACCTGGAATTATACATCCACTCCCCCATACATCTTTATGGCACAGTGCTTAATTAGTTAAGCACAAGGACAACTTTACCTTTTCTTATATAAATATAAAGCAAATGTAGGCCAGATATGGAGTTCTGTGTATTCCCATGTTTAAATTCTGTCAAAACTCCAAAACTCCTCTGAAGGATGCGCAGCATCAGAGATCTTAATATTAGTAAACTGGTAACTTACTTCCCATGTTCCTTGTTTTTGGAAGATCTCTGGGCTGCTAGTTTGATGTGTGCTCGCCTCTCTGCGTCACTCTGCTTTGTCTTGGCGAGAGCACGCTTGTAAGATAAAGTGCACAGCCAACACAACAATTTGCCATCAACCTGTGTGGAAAATAAACAACAACTTATATTTTCTCATATTATCATTAATTAATTTCTAACAAAAAGCTTATTTAGATTATTGGTTAACAAAGGTGTGGACATGCAGATAGTTTCCTACTGACATTAAGTCATGTTCAATTTTCTACTACATAGCATGAACTCGCTTACATACATCTCCAGCAAGCAGAACTTTGACAAGCTTTGAGGTTTTGATGTGTGATGTACTGTGATTTTTTGGGTTGACACCATGTGAGCTCACAGGTGGTTAACAATGTTTCAGGGGCAACTGCTCCCTCCATCTTCAAGGTAGAAGGTGGAGATAACAGGTTCCTCTGAAAACTTGTAATTATCTACAAAATTGAAGTGTCACCACCTAGTACATCACAATCCAAGTAACACTTCTGTACAAACTCCAGATTCTAATGTCAATGCTTAACTATACTGATGTACTGTCGTAAGTTAAACCACCTCATACTTTACGCATCTTCAAAGAAAGTGTCCACAGAGGAACATACAGATTAATGAGGTCATCCTAAAGGGGCCATGTGTCCTAGCCATCTCAAATGCAATGCTGAAAAATGTGGCAAAGCCTCATCCTGGTAAGCGTGAAGTTTTCCTGTGTTTAATTAAGCACCACAATTTGAAAACATATGCTACAGTAGTAGTTACAGGTCAATGGACCTGTCAATACAGGACAATACCTATCAATACCTGGACAGGTCAATACAATGGACGGAAATGAGTACTCATCAGTCAGGAGGCTAAAGATCTAGTCACAGCTGAAATGAGAAAAATCTCTGCCCACATTAGGAATCAAACCCTGATCACCCAGCCCGTAGCTTAGCCACTAATTTTTCTTCTCAACTGGAAAAGTCACCACTTCTCAAAACCCATGTAGGCCCATCCTTTATCAACCCTGTGATTTGTATGCTTTGTTCCTTTGAGAAGGAACAACATATGAATTAAAAATACAAATCCATGTATTGGAATATGCTCTTACTTGTCTGAACTGATGTGCATAACTTAACAAATTCTGAGGAGGATAATTTCAATAGAAAATTATATCCATTTTTTGTTCCAGATATTGACTATGTTGCATTCTTTACACCCAGTAACTCTCAAACAGGAATAAACATTAGAAACTGGAATTATTCATATTTTCTGCATTATTATGTCTTCTTCATATATGAACAATCTAATAATATCATTCAATATTGTAAAAAATATATAATACAGGTTTCAAAAAGCTCTTCTAAATACCCATTTTTTTCATGAAAATTATGACAACTGATGCCAAAGAGGCTACTGATGACAGAAGCACCCACTGGCACAATTAATGCAACTAGTACATGTATATTAATTTTCTGTTACTATGTTTTATTAACCAACTGCACATTAATAAAACACAATGGGATGTCATCAAATACAAAAGCATGTAAATAGTAAACATCCATTACACTGTTATAATTTCATTGTACAGAGATATGTCAAAATTATATAAAAGGTACATTTCTGGGCGTGAAAGTAATGACTGTGGAATCTAATTTAATATACACACATTATATTTCAGTTACATATAAGTCCAGAATTTGAAATGTTCTTGTCAGCATAAGTTGATTACAGCCCTTCTACCTTGAATTCTGGACATCAATATACACAGGAAAGTAGCAAATTTCAATCAATATTAAGTAAACCCCATTACAGAGTGCTATTCCTTCCATTTGTATTACTATCTCATGCATGTGATTGCTGCAGTATGCATTATCACAGTTCAGTCAAAGAATGATGAAATTCTGGTTCCTGCAAGCAGGCACATTTTTCATGTATTGAGATTTCTGAACTCTAGTGAAGAGAATAAAACCATGACAAACTGTGGAAAATCAAAACTTCATGGCAATCTCAATAAATCATACGTCAAAATCTACAATTAAACTCTGCATTTGATAGTGGAAAAATTTCTTGCAATTTTTAAAGAGAGAAATATTTTCAAAAATTACATTCCTATGGAACATAAGTGTTTTGACAGAGATGTGTACAAACTGTGCGACTTGAGTGACTGCAATTTGATAAAAACCATATGCCATATGTACCCAACAAAAAGCAAAAGGACTAAAACAAAAATCCACTTCTTGAACCATGATGCCAGCTCTCTATAGACCCACATTTTTGTCTCTTCCACATGAAGTTTAACTAATACACCAAAGATTTATCAGAATTCACTCACAGAACTGGCATTCATAAGTCATATAAGTAGAATTTTATAGAACTGCTGGCATCTGCCCCCCTTTTTGAATACAGGATTTTTATGTTCATGATAAATTCTTACGCTATCTGGCTGTCGGTTTCTTTCATTTCATTAACTTTTACTAGAATGTTTTATTACAAAAAGCTCCAAATACACACATATTATTTCAGTACTATGTGAGATTATGACAGAATTCAAAAGACCAGTTATCATTGCACACAGGAAGGAATTAGGAAATGGTAAAATGATGTTCACATCTCTAGAAAACATGAAACTTAGATGGCATGTTTACAGTTCTCTAACAGGGGGAAAATGATAATGATATGCACAACAGAAACATTGTTGTACACCTATTACAAGCCATATTCTTATGTTTACGATAAGCTGTACAGCATGAAGAAGTGAATACTTGTTACCCTATTATATAATATTCTGGCTGATTAAATCTTCCTGGGCTATCAGCCATATCGGTTGGTTAAAAATCACTGATACTGCAGGGACCATTTCTGTCCCCATCATCTTGGCGTGTCTGATGTCTGACATCAGATGTTGGTAATATTTAACCAACTGATATGGCTGATAGCCCAGGAAGATTTTATCAGCTTTAGCAGCTTGTTATAGTAGAAAATACTGCAGAAAATTATATTTGTATTCTTTTCCCATAAAGGGCTGAAATATAAAAGACAAATGCCCTGTAACAGCCATGGATTTAATTTTAAATCATACCATGTATTTATAGATTCATAAATTTGAATGCCCAGTACTTAATTGTTAATTTTATAAAAAAAGGTTTACTCAACTGTAGAACTGCTAAGTTTTCCGGTGTTTAAAAGTTCCTTAATCAGTGCTGTAATTTATTTTAATTACATTTTGGCAAATTATATATTTTTATCCACTTTTAAAAACTTCATTATTTTCTATTTGAACATATGAAGCTTTTACAACTGGAAAAGTTGTCACAATCAGATATGTGTAGTAATGTGGCATATTTATCCCGTCACTCTATGACTGCTATACAGAACAAACTTTTACCATATGTCAGATGTATATGCCACATGTAAAGCCAGATACACAGATGCGCATTCTTCTGTAACATAACAGCATAATGCAACAGGGGTTCAACTTGTATGTTACAACGTTCAAGTGTGTATGACAGGGTGATGTTCAGGTGAAGGGGTTGACCCAGCAAATATTCACAGCCATTGGCCAGAACATGTCTTTACAGGTAGCTACAGCAAGTTTTATATTCATATCACATTTTGTCCAAGAATATGAAACAAAAATAAAGATTTCGGTGGCAAACACAGTTGTTTAGAAGTAGAAATGTGAATTTATTAATGGATTTGAAGTTCCAAAACATTAGTGGACAATACGAAAACTGTATTTACATGGCACCAGCAGATTTTGAATTCCTTATTAACGCAACTGGTCAAAAAATTGCAAAGAATTCCACACACACAGCAGCTACTCCAGCTGAAGAGAGACTGCTATCTACACTGCGGTCTTTGGCCGTGGGTGATTCATACACAAGCCTGCAATACCTTTTCAAAATTTCAGAACAAGAAACCAGGTAAGGTATTGTTGAGGCATTGAAAGAAAACATAAAAGTTAAAAAAATTATTTAATTTCAAAATACAGCCTTAAAATTATTTAATATCAAAATACAACCTTGTAAATATTTAATACATATAAAACTCAGAAAATTCTCTACGATTTCTAAGTCATCGAAAGCAGAAACAAAGAAAACAAACTTACATAAATTTCTTGCACATCAAGTCACTAAATTCCAAGTCTTCCATGTCAGCAGAAGAGTGAGTGGCAGAAGCCTGCGTACAAGAGGTGGGGGTGGGAGCTAGAAGAGGCTAATAAGAGGATAAGGTTCACGTTCCATGTTGAGGGTAGTGATGTTGCTCAAATTGCCTTTGATTAGCATTAAAAATAATGTTAATTGCATGTTAAACAGCATTCCTCACACATGAATAATAATTTGGCATATTATTTCCGATTACATTTCAGAAAATACAATGTTCATCTACTGCTGGCACAATCGCTGAAGCAGTCAATATATGAAATGCTTTCTCCAGCATTTCATCTGCCTCTGTATTTCTTCTTTCTGGCTTGTTCAGCCAACGGAGGAATAATTAGGACCTGAGCTACAGCAGGTTCGATTAAAACAGTGCCTTCTCCTTCTTCCACTCATGTTGGTTCACCTGTATCAACCTGATTAATAACAACATTAATATAATTGTATGTACACTAAGTAGAGGCCAATAAAATTTTAATTTGTAATGTTCATCCCTCTTACAGATACCCACAAAACTGGAAGGATGGTTAGCTATCTCTAAACAATTCAATAAACTGTGATTATTCCATAGTACTCGAGGACCATGGGGGGCAAGCACATTGTCTTGCAGACACCTTTAAACAGAAGCTAATTCTGCAATTACAAATCAACATTCAGTATTATTCTGTTCATTTTGGTGGATACAAATTACAATTTTCTATCTGCAAATGCAAGTTGCCAAGGAAGAATTTCTGACAGAGGCAACTTCAGGAGTTGTAGACTGAATGTGAACCGGAGAACAGTTCTTTAGGCTTTCCATCACCAGCAGTTTCAAGAGGAAGAAGTAAGGTGTTACAGTGTTTCTTTGTTGCTGATGAAGTGTTTCCTTTAGAAGAAAATAAATGTAAAGGAAGTTTCTTCAGGAATTCATCCTAAAGGATCAATTGGAAGAATTTTTAATTACAGCCTATGCCAAGCACAGAGAGTTGTTGAAAATATACTTCAAATCACTTCCTCTGTTTTCCACACACTATGTTACTACAGCCTGAAAGGGGTGAACCAGCTGTAATGGCCACGCCACATCTTCACATGTTTTAGGGAAAAAGTGCTCATTCTGCTGGCATTTGTACGCCACCAGACATACTCGATCACAAGGTAGGAGGAAACCTGGACAAAGAAAACATGAATCATTACTTCCCATTAAAGCAATTACATGCAGGTCTGCTTCAGATGCAAAGTAAGCAAGAGGAGTGACACAGTACTGCAAGACCAGAGGACATACATCGTAGCAAGATATTCATAAATTAATACTTAACCATGCTCAGCTTCTCACATGGCCTGTCTCTATCTAGAAGGAAGGCCATGCTGTTGTAGAGAAGCCAGGTGCTTTTGTAAATGTCATTTCTACCTGCAAAATACAGTTCAGTTATTTGTTTTCATTATAAATGATATGTAAGTTCGGAAAATAGTATAGAAATATATTAATGTTGTATATATATAATATTATTATAAATATAGTATTTCTTATTCTTAAGAATATTTAAAGTATCTGTAATACGATTTATGTTCTTAAAATTACAATACCATGCATACCTTTGCCAGTTCCATAGCTTTTCCTAATCTTTCCTCTTTTTCTTCTACAGGAAGACAGTAAATTGTTTATTTTCCTTTTGCAATCATCAGACGTTGTTCACATAGCCCTTGCTAATTCTTCCCAAGCGTCGCATTTAGTGTGTTTATTACAATGCTTGAGATGTGTTGGATTGTTGAACACCACAGCACAACCTTATCTTTGTACAATAATATGAATGTTACCTTGCTCTTCTTGTTCTAATCCATTCAAAATTATGATACACAAAAAAGGGAATATGAAAAATTGAGTGGAAAAATAAGCTGGACCCAACAAGGAACAGTTTTCAAAAGGCAAACGTGTGCTGAAACACATACACACCTGCTCTAGTGGCATAATGTAACATCCTTTGATGCTCGCTGGAAAACCAACAGTAGTGGGGATCAACTATGCCGAAAACTGAACAAGAGCAAATAATACAGTAACAATGTACACACACTTGTTACATTATTCTGTTACATTATGGTAGAATGCGTAAGTGTGTGTCTGGTTGTAAAGGTTAAGAGAGCAACATGTGGTAAGAATCTTTAAGTAATGCATCTTGTGGTGTCTTAAGTACTATACATATACAGGAAAATCGAGAAGTCGCACACATCACACTAAGCAATTATATTTTGCTGGTTAAATGCACAAACTACAAGACATACAGCACTTACCACACACAGATATGTATATGGTAAGAAAATAAAAAAGATCTACATCTGGAAGTATTAAAATTACATTTACAACTCATGTCTGAAGGCAATTAATTTTCATGTAGTGAATAATAACTCATTTTTAAGTGCCAAATAAATTTTACGGGGTAATTTGTCTGAAATTTCACATGTGTAAACACATCTGTACATGCTCATCACAAAAGTCAGCAAAATGTACATCTTCAAAGTGCGAACACATCATTCCATTTGTTGACAGAATATATATACAGGGTGTCCCAGGAGGAATGTGCCAAACTTCGGGAGGGTGTTCCTTATGTTAAAGTATGCCGATATAACCCAAAGCACCTATGTCCAAAGTTGAAGTCCGGCACATTCCTCCTGGGACACCCTGTACGTTAGGTGAAATACATCATATGAAAATGTCATACAAATTTAGTCAATCAGAGCTTAGCAACAAAGTTTAAAATAGCCTCTTGAACTATCTTACTTTTAGATATACACACAGAGTAAATGAATTAACACACTATTTTATCTTCCAGGAACTTCACTGTTTAAAGGAATCTGCATCACAATGATATAATTTCTCTTCAGTAAGTTCCATGTTTAATTTTCAATAATCACTACAGTGGTATTTCTCTATGACAGTGCCATGTTAGCTGAAAATATGTTACCATTACAGCTACACCTTCCTAAACACAGAAGCGCAACAATGCACGTGATCAGACACAGCAGCCTGGCTCAAGTGGTAATACCTTAACACTATTTGGGAAGTGACTAGTTCAAATTTTAGCCAGGCCACTGGCTATCCTGACTGTGGTTAGCAGTGTTCTTCTTCAGTCTCTCCTGGCAAATGTGGGAATAGTACTTTAAATTAAGCCATGAATGCTTTCTTCCATATTCTTTCCAATTCATTATTTATTAAATTGACCTTGTCGTTTGATGTTGTTTAGTATGAGATACTGACAGCATCATTAAATAATCCAGAAATGAATAAATAAATCTAGGTGATAAGGCAATTATGATGAATGACATATTAAATTGAAAAAAAGTAGTCTTCTGGGAAGTGGCGCTGTGTGGATATTGTGTTAACTGACGTTTCGGAGGAATGTATCACCTCCATCTTCAGGGAAGAAGACATTAGTCTGTTAGCACCTGCTCACGCTGGTTACTTGCTCATGGATTTTCTGCTTTTTTTCTTCTACCCTGAAGATGGAGGAGATATGTTCCTCCGAAACGTTGGTTAACACAATATCTACATGGCACAACATCCCAGAAGACCGCTTTTTCATTGTCACCACCGTGAAAACCTCAAATCTGATATATTAAATTAGTTAAGAGAACTGTATTATTAGCATTGCTGATAACAGCGGTCAGGCGGTCTAAGGAATGAAATGTCTTTGCCTGCTTGAACACTGGGATTGTGGGTTTGAATCCCATTCAAGGCATGGATATTTGTCTCTGTTTATTCTGTGTTTGTGTAGGTAGCAGTCTTGTGTTGGGCTGATCGCCCATCCAAGAGTCCTAAAATTTAGGATCAAGAAACTGAAGTGAAATGAAGTGTTTCATCGGCCGTGCCATAGCTCAAGCGGTTAGTCGCTGGCTTCTTGCTGCGTCAGCCCGGGTTCGATCTGGGGTCTGGTCAAGTGGGATTTGTGGTGGACAAAGTGGCGCTGGGGCAGGTTTTCTCCGAGTACTTCGGTTTCCCTTGCCAATCTTCATTCCACCAATTGCTCCACAATCATCCTCACCTATCATCTGGGGCTGGTACAATAGGCCAGAAGTGGCCGCAGTACAAGGGACTTAGTCCCATACCACTAGCAATAAAAAAAAAGTGTTTCGTGGATGCCCTATGCTCGAAGTGAAAGGAACACGAATAGACAGATAATTAATACTGTTATTATCAAAATAAAGACATGACTATTTTTATATACCTTTTTATCTTCATCCTTTCTATCAAAGGCACATTTCTGCTTACACTGTTCACATGTAACTGGAGGTCCATATTTCTTCTCTGAGTTAGTACACCGCTGACACTTGTTTCCAATGAATGCAGCAATTATATTGCAATACTCACATGCTGACGGCCTTCCAAATTGCTTTACATTAGTTTCACACTTTTTACAGATAGTACTGGGACTCCCTTTACTGCAAACAAAATAAGTTCACAAAGAATCAGACAATGATTAGAATCTGATAACAAAAAATTACATAACATGCAACATCTCTGGTATACAAGAAACTTTCTCTGCTCTCCAAAATATGATACAAAACAATGTACAGTTCTATTATGTAAGTTAACAGTGCGTAGAGAAAAAACTGAAAGTAAAAAGTCTGCACAATAACATGCCTCTGCCTTATCATTTCTGACCGTGTTATAAGTTAACTGATGACCCATAATAGGAGTTCAGATATTAAGAAAATTCTTTAATATATGTAAACACACACACAGGCAAACTGCAACTTTCAAACATAATGTGTTGTTTTAAATATGTCTGCAAGTTGAATGTGCTTAAGTTAAATTTATTTTTTTCATAAGATATACCATTAAATTTGTTATGTTAATGTTCATAAGCATGGAATTCTGTGTTTATTACAGGAAGTGGGAGTCACAATTTGTTAGTCCATGCAATGCTCATAAATACAAACAGTTCACTCATTGAAACCTCGTAAGTAGAGATTTGCCTCTATTATAATAATGGAAGGCATTAAAAAAAAGTACACTGTAGTGTTATTTAAGAAGCTTAATATTCTTCCCCTTGATAATAAATTTATACTTTCATTACTGTCATTTGCTGTAGATATCATGGAAGAGTTTCAAAGAAATCTTGACATATACAGGACGCACACAAGACATACACATGACCTCCATGGACCAAGTGCTAATCTCACCATATATCAATACTACATTTGTAAGTATTTAATAATCATCCATTGACCATCAAAAATTTAAATCAATATATGAAAACATATTAGCCTACACTAAATATTATCGCTTATATCACTCTGCCTTACAGAAAAATTTACTTTAACTGAAAATGAAGAGGAAAATATTTTTCACATTATTCTGTATCACACAATACACCTGCTATAAACAGCTGCAACCTAAACATATTACAGTCATAATTCTTATTCTACTTACAACTGTAATTCTGAAAAGCACTATAATGGAAAATGTTACTTCCAAATTGCAAGCTTCAAGAACAAATTTAAACTTTGTAAATCAAACAGCAGCTTTACAGTATAATGCTCACACATGGGTGTTACTGAATTCTAGTTCTACTTAGTTACCACACCTGGCGAAAACCATTCTTACTCATTTAAGGTTCGAAACATATCGGTGAATCTGACTTTTACTGATGGTTACTGGGCTTAAGAAAAGCCATTCTAAATTAAAACATGAAATTGGTAACTGGATTTAAGGATATTCGTAAATTAACTGATACTCACTTTGTCTGCTGGAATTCTGACCGGCAGTAAGTGCATTTCACGACAGGAAAAGCACCCCGACATTCCTGAAAGAAGTTTGAGGTTAAGGATGACCACATTCACACCACACTACATAAACATATATTTCACATTTACATCACATATACATGCATTATTCACAATATATGTTTCACATTTTTAACTGATTCTAGAAAGCTTGAAGTGTACTTATGTAAATTTAACACCATTCTATTAATTGCCGTAATTGTGTATACTTAAACGCAAAACGATGCAGGCGAACATTACCTTACATAATTGTTGTCCTGATGATAATTCTTCAAAGGGGTGCCTTGAAAAACATCGTGAACATGCAAACAATGCCGACATATTCATAATTACGCAAAAATATTCTTAATATTTCCAGTGTAAATTTTCACGCACAGTATAAACATTTACAACTAACCTCCATCTTGAAATGACGTCACTGTGGTGCCAACGTCATAACACGCATTGAACAGAAAACAAAAAAACCAGATTCAATGACGTAGAAACAAAACCAAGATTTCTTGTCTAGTTCAAAATGTGCTGCATTCATTTTGACATTTTTTTTGGATCTCATGAATCTTAAATATTTGCAAGTATGGGTCTGTTATTTTCGAAGTCGAAGCTAAACAGTCAATTACTGTCGGCCTTATTTGTTTCAATATTTAACACTTTAGATTAGAACAGAACTGAACTTATATTCCACAGTTTCTTTACTTACCAAACCAACGGTGTAGTACACATTGATAGAATACAGAACTTGATGCAATACCAATACATATGTAAATTGTGGTAGCTGTTACTGGCATTTTCTAACAATATTACTTTATGCTGTGTAAAATAATGTTAAAATTTCTTCATATATATCTTCAATATGTCAGGATTTTCAACTATAATAAATCTTTCTTAAGGGTAAGAATTTGAAGTAGACATCAAGAAAGCTGACTGAAGCAGCAACACTTCTGACCTGTACTTGGGAGATGCCTGCTTCAGATCTAAATCAGAGTACTGACTATCCCCATGAACATAACACATTGTTTTCCTTAGCCCTCCATGCAAATTCCATTCCTGAGGTCAGTCCATGACCACTTCTTTTCACATCCTTGCCAATTCATTACTCACTCTCCAATCATTCAACACTATATAGTCTGAGTTAGTGACAGCTTTGTTAAATGACCATACTAATAAATGAATAACAATCATTAATCCCACGTATTTTCAATTACTTACTTATGGAGCTCATCCCTTCTTGAGAAGCCACCAATTGTGCAGTCACTCATGAATTTCCCAGCATTTTATGGAACCCGAAGGGTCATTACTAGGTTCACAAGTGACCTCCACTGGTCCCTATCCTGAGCCAGATCAATCCAATCCATACATCCCATTCTATTTATCTAAGATCCATTTTAATATTGCCCACCCACCTATGCCTTGGTCTTCCCAGTGGTCATGCCAAACTCGAATCTTTCTGCTTTTCAGAAAGGTACTATGTTTACTGCCATTAAACTATTCAACAGATTGCCCATAACCATTCAAAGCCTTAAAGAGGATAGAATTAGTTTTAAAAATAGGCTGTTTTTATATCTTATGAATAATTCCTTTTATACAGTTTCTGAATATGTGGAGCATAACATAAACAATTAGTTTTAATTATTTCGTTATCTGTGTGTTTGTTTAAATTTTTGTATGACGACCTTCATGTCCATTTGTTTGGACTTGTGAAATGAAATGTATGTACTTCCAATAGCTAATATAAATAATTCTTGCATCTAGTGAAATTTGGGAACCTGCAAGCACTTTCCCATTCTCACCTTTAGTCAGTTCAGTTATCAGTAGGTAACCATTCTTAAATTCATCTGTATTTATACATATCCCTGACACTCTAGTTCCTAATGTTTATTGCCTTTGTAGTGTTATAACTGTTTGTGTAACTGTATGGTTTCAGTTTTGGCGTGCTGTGACATGGCATCCATAAAGTAGAGAACTTATGCAAAATTTTGCAAACTGGATAAAACAGCTGCAGAAACCCAAAGAATGTAGTGTGAAGCTTAAGGAAATAAGGCTTTGAGTAAAATGGAGACATTTGAAAGGCACAAACATATACAAAGGAGAAGAATTTCAACATATGGTGCCAAGAGGTCAGACTAAAAATATTTGAGAAACAATAAAAGACATTATTCAAGAAAATCACTGACTGACTATATATGAAGCAACAAAAGAGACTGGAATAAACACTTGCACATATCACACAATTTAACATAAGACTTAGGGATAAACTGTATCTCAGAAACCCAAGATTAAGTGGGGGCATAGACTTAAAATAGAATATTAGACCTTTGAAATCATACTTTTTTTTTCCAACTGTTAAAAACATGATTTTTAGAGATGCAGTCCCTAACTTAATTAACTAACCATACACCAATTCCATACAAGCTTATGCCCATCACTCTGCCTTCTCCAGACTATTTTGGACTTCAAAATACCGTATTTACGCATGTATAGGCCGCACATTTTTTGCCAAAAATTCAAGAGGAAAACTGGGGTGCAGTTTATATTCAAAATATTCGAAATCACACTTCATTTAAAAAAAATTATATTCATAATTAGTAATACAGGGTGTTCTACTCCTGAAATAATATTCCAAGAAAATTATCTTTTCTATAATTTCTGTCTGAAAATTGTGCTGCGGCCTATACATGCGCAAATATGGTATATACATAGATTTCTGGTTACCCCAGATTATGTAAACCTTCCCATCTAAACAATTGTATAAATGTAGTGAAGTTTCCGAATATATTCCTCAAACTACAACAGTACCCCTTCAAAAACCTGCAACAGAAATAAATGCTTCATTAACTAGCCAGAGACCAATACCATGCAAGCTTGCACCCATCACTATACCATTTCCAAACTATTCTGGTCTTAAAGTTGATGTTGAAAAACTGGATCAACAGATTTTGAAAAGCCCCAGGTTATGCCAACATAACAGTTTATACAGTGCAAAATACATGAGCAAGTTTTCCTGCATGCCTTCCTCAAATAATGGAAAAGTAGTTTAATGACAGTTTCATAGCATAATGTGATAATGACAGACAGTACAACATAATGTAGTGATTCGGACATTCCGAATTTTACCTTACAGAACTATGACAAATAGTTGTCTGGAAGATAGTAATTTGTTTATGTAGTTAGTTAGTTAGTTATTGGAGAGGGTGGGTTTCCCCATGCACTGAGACCTGTATTGGTCCATTGTGCTTCCCTCTATTGTTTTCTACCAGTCTCTATATCCTACCGGTACTGGTGCTTACCATCAGTCCCGCCCAGCCAGCGAGACCGGCTCTACTAGCTGAGAGGTATCTATAATGCTTCCCCATCTACCAGAGGTATTAGAGACTGCTGTTGGGTGGGAAACGTCCATTAATTTGGCTCAGTGACCTCCTTTGGAGATATGAGGTTCTTTTACATGCCGTAAAGCTACGACACAGGACCCACAGCTTAAAGTCCCTCCCGGAGGACTTGTTCCCTGAATTTTTCCGCCCTTAAAAATTCGACGACCTCCACCGGGTATTTGAACCCGCGTACTACGAGTCATGAGGTGGGAACGTTACTTCTAGACTACGGAGGCCGCTAATTTGTTTATCTAAGTATTGTCACATAATGGCTGGGGGTGGACACAGGAAAAAAGGTGTTGCTGGGTAGCAGCTGGTAGACACATTCCCGAGGTGATGGGTGTGTCATTTGTTGCTAAGCAGTGGCACGATAAACACACAACAATGAGGAAACATTGGAGGGGGAATTTTCTTTGCAGTATGTCCCAAGGCTATATACCGAGGATCAACAGGACAACCAAGTCAAGGGTGAGTGAGTCAGTGGGTCTGAGGAAGGGTTGCACAGCAGTGCAATTAGTGAGAGCACCTCAAACACAAACTTTAATTCACGGTTTTGAAAATTGGACGTCTAACCAAAGTGCCTACCAGATATCTGACATATTGAACCGTATAAAGTATAAGCACTGAACCACAATAGTATATAATGGGACCTGAAAGTTACCAAAACAGATACCCATAAAGTATCTCCATTCCAAGTATTCTTTATCATGCTTCAGCAATTCTCCTATTCACAATAAATTCAGCAATATTATCAGCATTAAATATGCATGGTTATGGTTTTGATGGCGAATAATATCAGTAGTCAAAAAGGGTCAATAAAAATCAGTGTGTCCAAAGACTTGCCAAATAATCACAAACAGCTAATGAAACATCAGAAAAAGAGAGACTGGCAATGAGACTTATTCCAAAATGGAATTATACGACTTTGTGAAGTAAACTTATTGCTACATGCTGGATTAAATAAGAATACTTCATTTATTGCTCTCCACTATTTAGCAAAAAAATTTGAAATCCAAGTAAATGGTGTAGTAACCCTTTATTTATATCACAGCATTCAGGTTTAACAAGGAACTTGTACATTATATCCAAAAAGTTACTTCAATATATTACTGAAGAGCCCATGTTAAACAGCAGTACTTAATGAGACAGTGTCTCATTTAATTGGAGCATTCTTAAGGGACTTGCAAGTAATCTTGCCCGCTTTTGTACACAAAGCATTACCTTGCCACTGGGCCTCACAATTTGCTGTAGTCTTTAAATCCACCTGAAAAGAGAGGGAACAACCTACAGATATGGAAGGATAACATAGAGTAAAACATGTGAAATTAAGGATATGCACAAATGTACAATGTGTGTGTAGATTAACTGAAAGTACCCACGAAACTATAACACACACAAAAAAAATCACTCTTTGCTAACCCATATTAAAATTTATTCATTACACAGTATATTGCGCTTCTTGAAATTGATGAATGTGAGTGTTGGCTGCAGCAAGAAAGTGCCACATGTCACACATCTAATGAAACCATGCAGTTCTTGCACGAGGTTTTCGGTGATGGTCTCATTTCGAAAGGATTGTGGCCCCAGCGTTCACCCAATTTGTCACCTGCAGATATTTTCCTTTGGGGGTACCTCAAAGGAATTGTCTATAAAAACAACCCATGTACACTGGATGACCTCAAGAGAAACATTACGATGGCGATTAACAGCATCAGTTTACAGGTGCTCCATAAAGTGGCCTCAAACATGGTAAAAAGAGCTCGTGCATGCATTGATGAACAGAGAAGCCATTTTAAGCATATGTTGTAAAGACATGATTTGATTTAGCATTTCTAAGATGTAAGGCTATAAACATTAATAGTAAGTGCTGTATGTCTTGTAGTTTGTGCATTAAACCAGCAAAATATAATTACTTAGTGTGATGTGCGTGACTTCTTGATCTCCCTGTAGTGTCTATAACAAGCCCACTGTTTCACACACTATAAAGATCACTGTAACTGCAGCACACATAGTCTTCTATATCTTAACTAGTCGTTTCCTGGTAATGGTTTTTAACAATTGAGATTCTTCAGATTCCACATTCATGCCATTTCTGGCTGGCTACCATCTCACAAGTGAACTATTTCTCCAGAATGTTGTGATTATAACATCTTGGCACTGAATTCACTGCTCTTCACTGTTGCAGTTCAATTGTTGCTTGTTAAGAATATACTGCCTCGCGGCATGCATTGTGTCACTGCCTAGTAATGGGTCTATATGCTACAATATCATTTTACTTTTACCTGTAACTTTTCCCAAATCTTCTTTTTAGGATTCAGTACATCATCTGGAGTACCTGACTCATAGCCTTCTATAAGCACACAATCACCAGGTGAACTTCCTGTAGGTGGTATGAGTGGTTCTACAGCTCTTGGTTCGTCCCTGAAGTGACAGACAGAGAAAACTGGTAAAAAGTAAAGTAAAGCTATCCCTGTAACAGGCCACGAAGGCCCATAGGGTTGTGAGACGTTAAGGGTCCCACATTATCTAGATAATCAGCTCAAAGATGGCGGTAACTTTGTCATCCTTACGCGCCGGCCATGCTGAGAGGCTGAGTGAACCCCAGGGCCATAGTGCGACCGGTACGATTAGGTCAACTGAAAAAAATCCAATGACCTCATCGGTATTTGAACCCGTGACCTTCCGGCTTGTAGCATAGTGCCTTAACCACTACACTACCGTGTGCCCCCAGAGAAACCTGGTAGATGCCAATAAAATCTCTTTTGCATAAAGTAATACAACTTAATGAAGGTAAGAATACTTCAAAGTATAGATTGTAAGTGTTCAGATAAAACTGTTTTCTGTTGAGTTCAACACAAAATTTAATAAAACACGTAAATAATTTTATATTATTTATAGGTTGGTATGTCCGCTGTCCAGATAAATGTTTAAAGAGTTGGTCCAAAAATTAGTGGAAATAAATTATCATTTTTCATGAAAAGAATGAAAATGAATTATGTAAATTCAGTTTGCTGGTGGAAAGCAGAGCAGGTAAATGTAAAGTTGTCCCTGTGCTTAATGAATTAAGGACCATGCCATGAGGATGTATGATGCAGTGACAGTATAGCTCCACTATTCTTAACCTTGGCCCTATTTGGAGATGAGTGGTCAGCTTCATGTTCCTGATGCTTTAACCCCTAGGAAAGAGCCTCTGGTAACCAATCTACAAGCTGCTAGGTGGGTTGTGGAGCTGGTCTGGATGCTATGGAGCAGAGAAAAATCTCTTGCCCCTACCAGGAATCTTGTCCAAATTCATTGGGTTGCCCAGCCCACAGCCCAACTGCTATACTGACTGATCTATCTTGGCTTCTCATCAAAGCAAACATCTAGAATTTCATTCAAACTGCATTTTTTATTGAGAAATTGACAGTGTATTGCTATGATTTTGTATAGATATACTTTCTGAATAACAGAATGAAGTAATTTGCTTTGAACTTAAATGTGTAACTCAAAAACAGGGCTGAGGAATGTAAAGGTATCTCCGCAACACTATTTGCACCATTCCGCTAATACACCATTAATAACAATTCATTTTCGAATTTTCTATAAGTAATATTAATTTATAAGGAACATTTTGACATTTCTCTACTTACACAGATGCACAGAGGACCATACCATTTGACTCAATACCCCTCATCTTGGCGGGCTTTAGATTACATAAAACCACTACCATGCGGTCCTGCATCTCTTCTATTGGAACATAATTAACCAATCCACTCACTATTGTACGGGGTGAAGACTCACCTACGAGGATGAAGCATTTAAATGTTCTGTTAAGAATCAACATTTACGACAGTTTTCTTCCAAATAATGGTAGGTCACAATTACAAAATTTATTACAAATAAGAAATATATACATTTATATGCAGCAGCTGGATAATGAAGAGTAAATAATTAAAAATAATTTAAATCTTTAACTTACCCACATCTATTTTCTCAACATAGAGCGCATCTGCATCAGGATGTTTTGCAACCTCCACAATTCTGCCTATTCGAATATCCAAGCGATGTGGTGNTTAAAGAAAAGCAGTGGCACACATACAAAGAACCTGCACAAAATAACACATGAGTTGTGCTGAAAGCAGGAGGTAGCCACTGCAGCACATATAAGCATAGAGCAGGTATCTCTGTGATTTTGGTTTTTAAATATTAAAGCTAAATGAGAATTTAAAATTTTAAACCAATCGACGTGTGAATATTCATAAAACACAACTGACAAAATTAACAAGGGGAGTTTTGAAATATCAGGTGCTGATTGACGACAGAAAATGAACAATTGGAAATCTGGAATTTAAATGTTAATATTGAGTGCAGTGTGACAGCTACGTGAAGTGAAACACACCTGATGATGGCCGATTATGGCCGAAACATGTAGCGTGAAAGAAGGGGGACAAGAACTACAATAGAGTGTTACATTTACGACAGAGATTATAATATACATGTAGAAGTGTGGAATGTAACAGGATGCTTAAATATAATATACTTACTCTGTTTGCTTGGAGGTGGGTAAGCTTTCTCAGTCAGCTTCTTAAGTGCAGGATCTTCAAACTTATTTCTTATCGGTTCCAGTAATTTATTAATGTAACTTTCTACAGTAGCCTTTAAATCCCCTGGATGCACTTCTTCTTTACTGAATGCCAACTCCAGTTCTTCATATGTTAAGTATGTAGCATCTCCGCCATTTGCAGGATCACGAGATACTGTAAATCCTGTAAAGCAAAACATTTCTATAGTATGGTTAAACTACCATCTCCTTATTGAAAATTACATGGTTTGAATAAAGTATCCATCATCCTATTTCCAACGCTGTATCTCTGTGTTCCTTCTCAGATAAATATTTCTTTGGCATTCACACATTTATCAAGTAAACATTACTTACTTACTCATGAAGCTGTGCCCTTCTTGAGAATCACGTGAAACATATAAATACATTGTGTGGACAGAATGCAGAGATTCAGTATGTTAAAGCAGGTGGCACATACAGTAACCACTGTCCTTTAAAGAATTAATAGTGGGGTGGGGAGATGAAATTGGGACAATATCCAGTTTTTTAACTATAATTATTGCCTTACCTTCACCTTCACGGAAGAGACTGAACAACACATGCTTGACAAATGCTAGTACACCATTATCTGCCACGTTGCCTGGTTCGCAAAAAGCTTTCTTCAGTTTTTTCTTGACAGCTGCTGGAGTATCCAGAAGATCTATTTTACTGTCTTCTTCTGAAGATGACATTTTCCCTCCTGCAAGTCCTGGCACTAAAAATAAAGTTATACTTGGAACTAATAATTGGTTTTTAGGATGAATGTAAAAGTCCTGGCTAATTATCCTTTCCCCCTGGTAATTTGTAGTAATGGTTTATTTAATGATCCTGTCAGTATATCTTTTTTATTGCTAGTGGGGTGGGACTAAGTCCCTTGTACTGCTGCCACTTCTGGCCTATTGTACCAGCCCCAGATGATAGGTGAGGGTGATTGTGGAGAAAGTGGTGGAATGAAGATTGGCAGGGGAAACTGAAGTACTCGGAGAAAACCTCCCCAGTGCCACTTTGTCCACCACAAATCCCACTTGACCAAACCCAGAATCGAACCCGGGCCGCCATGATGGCAAGCCAACGACTATCTGCTTGAGCTATGGCGCGGCCTATGCTCTCAGTACCTAAGACTTCATAATGCTGAATGGCAGTATAATTAATGAATAATGAATTGGAAAGGATATGGATGGAGTCATGGCCTAATTACATACTATCCTGAAAATTTCCTGGAGGGAATGAAAAAGCCAAAAAAAATCATGACTCCTTGAACCAGGCTAGCCCAGGTCTTTGTTTTGTCTTATCATGCAGAGAAGTCAGCGATTTCTCATATGTGAGATTTGATGTTCTCATGGCAGTGACTATGAAGAGAACTATTTTCTGGGATGTCATATAGCCTGACAAAAATTTCAGAATGTTTCAGAGGAATATTCTGCCTTCACTGTCAACATCAAGGAGTTAGCTTTCTTTGTCAAGGGTATGCTTTGACTACTTTTCAACCCTGAAAATGGAAGCAGAATGTTTCTCTAACATGTCAGCAAACTTCTCCCACACTGTATGGCATAACACATCAGACGACAATTCTCTCAAATTTCTCACGTTTGTTTGTACACCAGGTCTATACCAGGCATCTAATGATTCTCCATAGGTTTATGGCAATGGTCAGTTCATTTTATGAATGGTATATTGGACAGTGGCCATTGTCTGAAATATTCTGATATACATGGCATGTGGATTAGCTCTACTCCCTCAGGTCTTCAGGTGAACCAACTCCAAAATGTCACCTACATGATATAAACCTAAGACGTTGGTCAGTGGTAAGTACAAAACACTGCAAACTTGATAATGTTAGCTAATTAAAGCACTGATGTGTTTTGATTATCAAATCATTCAGATTACTGTATTCTTAAATAGAAAATCGATTTTTTTAGTAAAATTATTTATTCAAAAGATTTAAAGCACATTTTATTTATCAATGATTGGAATCCATGCACATTAAATTGCAACCCAGGCTTAGGGCAAGCAGTCACCAGGTTATGTCTTTCACTATCTCAATAGGCAGGTCCATTAATGCACCATATTAAGTTTCTAAATAATTTATTTTTACTGCAAGGAAGTAAAATGATTAGATTAAATTTGTAGTTTTTGGAGGTGATTTCTTTTTAATATTGTAATGTCAGCTGAGATTATGGGAGTTCAAATTAATGTGTGATTGGATTACCAAGGTTCCACCGTATTCATTTTATAAACAGGCCACTGTCAGACACTTTTAGCAAATCACAGTTTCACAGTATTATTCTGGGATTCAACTTGAGGGACTAAGAAATAAGTTAGATTTAGTGGGAGTACAGGAGATCAGATGGGACGGAAGTGGCATTATACCAGGAGGAGAAATATACATTTTTCTATGGAAAGGAGAATGAAAAACATTAATTAGGTACAGTTTTTTTTTATTACATAAGAGAATCGTATCAGCAGTTAAGAGGGTAGAGTTCGTTAGTGATAGGATATCATATATAATCCTAAAAGGTCGCTGGTGTGATATCAGCATTTTGAATGTTCACGTCCCAACAGAAGATAAAATTCATGACATAAAGGACACGTTCTATGAAGAACTAGAACATGTATTTGATAAATTCCTGAAGTACCCTTTGAAAATTTTGTTAGCAGATTTCAATGCCAAAGTACAGAGGAAAGACTGTTTCAAACCAACAATTGGGAATGAGAGTTTATATGAAATTAGTAATGATAATGGAGTTAGAGTAGTAAATTTTGCTACATCAAAAAATCTTACTGTCAAAAGTACAATGTTCCCGCATCATAACATCCATAAATTTACTTGGACATCTCCTGATGGGAAGATACACAATCAAATCAACCACATTTAGATGGATAGGAGATGGCATTCAAGTACGAGGGGGTACCCAAAAGAAACCGAACTTATTTTTTTTTAAACTTATTTATTCAAATTTTAAGCACAAACCTTCAATCCCCTTCAAAGTACTCTCCACTTACACTAATACACTTGTCTAGTCTTTTATTCCATTTTTCAAAACATTGTCTAAATTCATGTTTTGAGATGCTTGACAGCGCCTCCGNTTTCATGTGTTCGGGCCGTGGAAGGACGACCAGAATGAGGTTTGTCATCAATTGACATTTCACCATTTTTGAAATGGGAAAACCACTCAAACACTTGAGTTTTCCCCATAGCATCGTCCTTGTACGTCCTTTTTAACATTTCAAGAGTTTCTGTTCCACTTTTCCCGAGCAAAAAGCAGAATTTCACCGCCGCATGCTGTTCACGAAAATCAGCCATTGCAAAAACGACGATCACACAAAACAGTTGTCACTATAAACTCTGCCGAAACTAGTTCTTACCTTCTGAAGCAATGGTAGTTGGCTTATCGACTCAGGAATGTTAGCTCTATGCGCTCATAGCGGCAAAACGCGGTTCTACAAAAGCTCTGCCCACAAAAAAATTAGTTTGGTTTCTTTTGGGTACCCCATCGTATACTTGATGTCTGATCATTCAGGGTAGCAGATTGTGATACTGACCACTACCTGGTGGAGGCAAAGGTTAGGGAAAGACTGGCAGTGACAAAACAAACAATGTACATAGTTCATATGAAGAGGTTCAATATCAGGAAATTAAAGGAGGTAGAGGGTAAATCACAGTATTGTCTTGAAATCTCAAATAGGTTCACAGCCTTGGAAAACCTGGACACTGAGGTGGATGTTAATAAAGACTGGGAAACTATTAGAGAGAATATCAAAATTTCTGCCAAGGAGAGCCTAGGTTATTATGAACAGAAGAAGCATAAGTTATGGTTCGATGAAGGAGGCTCAAACTTACTAGACCAAAGAAAAGACAAATTGCAGTGGTTACAGGATCCAAGTGAAATAAATAGATAATCTGAAGAATGTAAGATGCAAAACCAGCAGGCATTTCAGGAATAAAACGAGGGAATATCTGAAAGAGAAAATTGATAAGCTTGCAATGAACAGTATGAACAAGGATATTAGACACCTGTATAAGGGAAACAAATTACTTTAAGAGGGGTTACCAACCTAGAAGTAACTTAGTGAAGGATGAGAATGGTGATCTGCTTGCAGATTCCCACATTTCCACTTCATATTAAATTTTATCCAATATTCTTCTCTCAAGGTTAAGTCCATACATACAGATGAAATTAATCAGGATCCTCAGTGTGGATTTTGATGTAGCAGATCAACTACAGATTAGAGCTTTTGCATTTGTCAGATATTGGAAAAAAAAATGAGAGTACAATGAGACAGTACATGGGCTGTTTGTAGACTTCAAGAAAGCCTATGAATCAGTCAGGAGGAAAGTATTGTACAATATTCTGGCAAGAGTCTGGGATACACATGAAACTAGTTAGGCTAATTAAAATGTGTTTAAACAAAATGTATAGTGAAGTCCACATAGGTAAACAGTTCTCTGAGAAATTTCCTATCCAGAATGGTCTAAGACATGGAGATGCTTCATCACCACTCCTTTTCAACTTTGTTTTAGAATATGCCATTAGGATGGTCCTGGAAAACCAGGTGGGACTGAAATTAAACGGGACACATCAGCTGTTGGTCTATGCCGATGATGTGAAGCTATTGCCACACCTCTTTCAGCCCGTTCACCTCCGGAATAATACACTGTATAATCACCGCTTCTTATTTCACCTTGTCCTTTCCACCGCACTTCGCTGACACCTAGCACAGACACTTCATTCTTCTGCATTTCCATTTTCAAATTCTCCAATTTTCCTGCCTGATTCAAGGTCCTGACATTCCATGTTCCAATCTTGTATCCATGCTGTTTCTTCTGATCTTCGCACTTTTTCTTGTTGTAACGCCTGCATGACATTTCCTCTAGAAACACTCCCCCCCGGAGATATAGATACCATAGAGAAAAAAACACAGACTTTAATTGATGCAAGTAAAGAGGTTGGTCTAGAAGTAAACACAGAGAAAACTAGTACATGTTGCTGTCTCATCACCAAAATGCAAGGAAAATCATGACATGACAATAGAAAACAGATGTTTTGAAAATGTGACACAGTTCAGATATTTGGGAATGACGTTAACAAATTAAAACCTCATTGAGGAGGAAATTAAGAGGAAACTGAACTCGGCTAATGCTTGCTATCATTCAGTCCAGAACCTTTTGCCTTCTTGCTTGCTGTCCAAAAACATAAAAATCAGAATATATAAAATTATGTTTAATTTTGCCTGTGGTTCTGTATGGGTGTGAAACTTGGTCTCTGACATTAAGGGAGGAATATACACTGAGAGTGTTTGAGAACAGGGTGTTGAGGATAATATTTGGACCTAAGCAGGATGAAGTGGCAGGAGGCTGGAGAAAACTGCATAATGAGGAGCTTTATAATTTGTACTCTTCTCCAAGTATAATTAGAATGATCAAGTCAAGGAGGAAGAGGTGGGCAGGGCATGTAGCACGTTTGTGGGAGAATAGGAATGCATATAGGATATAGGTGGGAAAGCCAAAAGGAAAGAGACCATTGGGAAGACCAAGGCGTAGGTGGGTGGACAATATTGAAATGGATCTTAGAGAGACAGGATGGGATGGTATGGACTTGATTGATCTGGCTCAGGACAGGGACCAGTGGAGGGCTCTTGTGAACATGGAAATGAACCTTCAGGTTCCATAAAATGCTGGGGAATTCTTGAGTAGCTGCAGATTTGGCTTCTCCTCAAGAAGGGCTCAGCTCCGTAAGTAAAAATGTGAAAATATTAGATAGCAGGATGATGTACAAATAAACATGCTAATGAAGAGTACAAAGTGTGAAAGTAATAAAAGAAATAAAATACACAGATAATTTTGGCTCCATAAGGCATACACAGACAGTAGAAAAAAAAGATTATAACATATCATAATAACTTAATTACACAAGCACAACTGTACTTAAATATTAGTTGTCAGAAATAATAATGTGTTGAGTTATGGAAGGCTGACCTAAAATGAATTCTGAACAAGCCTGAATTGAATTTAAAACAAGTACCCTACCTTACAGCTTTGCCACCTGATGCCAGTGACAATCGGCCTCTCTTCACATACTGCTTACCAGCAGGGAAGGCAAAGGAAGGGGTACCAGAAGCAACTGTGGAGCACAAAAGGGAACTGGAGGCTGAACCAAGCAGACCAGGCAAGGGCAAGCAATGATATGAGCTGTCTAGAAGCTCTAATGTTTACAAAAGGACCTTTCTTATATTCCAGATAATCTGTCTTTTAAGTAACCATCAGTCTGTGACTTCATACCCATTGGATTCATAAGATGTATCCTCTTTGCATATCCCAACTGAGGTAGGTATTTCTCTGCAAATGTAAATATTTTCCGCTGGTCCACTCCTCCAAATTGAGCATCCACATGTAAATACTCTTCATCTAGTGCTTGTAGCCCTGGTATACCAAACATCAAGAATTGAAAAGTCAATGGTTATGATTTATGAATATAAACAAGTACTCTAAAAATGACCTACATTAACTACAATGTCCAACAAGTAGCCATAAAAATTAAAATTTAACAGTACACTACAATGAGATTACCCATGCACATAGGGACAAAAATATTCACTATAGGTTACTTTTACAGTGACTAAAAGAAAATCATAAAAGTAAACTCAATCATATAATAATTATAATATTCTTTATAATTTTAACAAAAGTTTAAAAGTTCATATAAAAGAAACTCAGAGAGGTTGGAATTGATACCAGTGATACGGCAACATTTAATGTTTTAAATTTAAAATAAGAAGCTGTGTACAATGTAGAATCATTAAGCTACAAAACATTTTAATTTCTTCCTAAATACTACAGTTATTCTCATAGACCTTATGTTCAGCACCTTCAATCATAAACAAAAAACAAAACAAACTCCATGGTTTTTAGTCCGCAAGCGAACTATATCGACCGACCAAACGACCACTACTTGTCGGCAAAGTTTAGTGCTAACTTTTGCGGATAGAGGGTGTCACATGGTCAGCGCAACAAATCCCCACGGTTGTTAATTTCGGTTTTGTAGACCGGAGCCACTATTTACTTGAAATAGGTCCTTAATTATCATCACGAGCCTGAGTGTACCCCGTTCCAGACCCACTATTTCTAAGAAAAAATCTGGTAACACCGGGAATCGAACTCAGACCTCTGGATCTGTAGCCAGGAACGCTGACCAGTACACCACAGAGGAGGCCGAACTTCAATCATAAACAACATAATATGCAAAGCTACAGAATATTTTAATTTCTTTCTAGATACCACATGTAATGTAATCCACCATGTGTTAGGATTAGGTGACTGCAATTATATGCAATATAATTTACAGTACTGTCCAACATAAACAAGCCCTAAAAACTTCATTTCATCACTAAATAGCTTCTACACTATGTAAGCTGCCATGATTTAAGGTTATGATTAAGGTTTATAAACATCCTTTGAATTGTGTCATGTGATATGTTGTGCAATATATTTGTGATGAGGTAAGTGTCTGGCAGTGGAATATCTGATGTGTGAACAAATGGAGAATTTGGTTCCTCTGGAAATGAAACACACTAGAAAAGCATACTGCAGCATGTCCAGGATTACCCTGACTATATAAAACACCTATATAAAACATATATATGCTGAAAATATTCTGCTCTGAGAGAAAGTTTCTGTAGTCACAGAGCTGCCCAGTGTCACTAGTATTATTTATGATTTATATCAATGTTTTCAGTAGCTCAGTAATGTCATAGTTACTGTTTAGTGACCAGAGATAGGGTTTGGATTAATTGGATTTATGGGACTCCTGAAACTCATAAATACAATTAGCTATAGTGCTATCACTAATTCACACTCACTACTATTCACTAGAGCACACACTAAATCTTCCCGTCTCCCGTGTCTTCGCCGGATGTCACCTGGTAAAAGTTCCCAATGCCACAGATTCCTCATCTTCTAGGTTCACATCCTTATTGGTGGCTATTTCACATCATGACCTCTGACTTTGCCCGGCTGGGACTGCCTGCATACACTCCTGATATAGGCTCTGCATGAACCCAACAGAGAACATTGCCTCCAAAGGTTCTTCTATTGTTACATGCTAACTGCTGCTGCAGTAATGTGACTCAGTTGCTGTGGAAACACATTTACAGAGCCATTCCCTAACAATGGATGTCTCTTCTAGCTCCACAATTCTGTATTTGAGCCATCATGTCACAATACATATACAGTGAAACGCCCATTTACAGTTGCTTTGAAAGAACTGGATTTGAGCACTAATAGGACGATATACTTAAATGGAGGAAATTCACACCGAGATTATTGTCTTGGGATTACTGAAACTGAACACTAAGTGGGAGGACACCTTAAACTGAGGAATTAAGGGGATCTACTAGAGTAAAAAATGTCAGCAAGAAATATTTTCAAAATGAGTGTCTGGCAGTGCTCCTGATACAAATATAAAACCAATTTTACAGAATGACTTTCATGGCTGTGAAGAATCTCTCAAAATTCCCATTAAATTTCAATGGGCAGTTTGTTAGTATCTCATAGTGCACTGCCATTATCACTGTACCATGAAACCTAAATCCTGTTTTGGATTTGAGGTTCTCGCAGCAGTGACCATGAAGAGTTACATCTTCTGGTATATAATGTCCTGCAGCTCTGCTTCTTGCTGGTTTCTGAATTGGCTTATGTTCTGACACTAAAAACGGAGACAGTATGTGCCTCCACGACATAATTTGCCTCTCACTAGACTACAAGGCATTACATTCCAGAAGACAGAATTCTTCTAAATCTTGTTACCTGGATACAGAAGCCCAGAGAGTATGGGGTGTTCAACCTGCTTGACCACTTCAGCACCAGCTTTCTTGGCGTCATGCTCTGTGACAATAGAGCTTAATCTGTACACATCCAAAGTATACTCCCTGCAAAAGAGAAGCATATCCCTTTATTACACATTGCTCTGGAATTATAAATACATTTGCATGTGTGTCTGTACAAGCACACACACATCCAAAAGGTTTTTATTGATACATAATATTATGGCACATCGGCACATACCTACATTCTAAAACTAAAAACTAAACTCCTTGGCTTGAGTCCACAAGTGAACTACACCAATTGAGCGACCACTGCTTGCCGGCAAAGTTAGTGCCAACTTTTAGCGAACAGGTGTCACGTGGTCAGCACAACAAATTCCTACAGCCGTTAATTTCGGTTTTCTAGATTGCAGCCATTATTTCCTTGAAATAGTCCCCAGTTATCCTCACAAAGCTGAGTGGACCCCATTCCAGACCCACTACTTCTCAGAAAATCTGGTAGCACCAAGAATCGAACCCTGACCTCTGGATCTGTAGCCAGGAACTCTTGACCACTAGACCACAGAGGCGGTCACCTACCTCAATTCAAAGACCTAAATTAAAAAGTAGTGTAAAGTGAAAATGCAGCTGTGAAACTTAAACTGTCATAAGTGGACCTTACCATACATTTTGGGTGAAGTAAGGGGGGGGGGGGATTTATGTATATATATATATCTCTATAAAAAAAAACAACCTCCATGGTTTTAGTCCACAAGCAAACTATACCAAATTTAGTGGATAAAGGGTGTCACGTGGTCAGTGCAATGAACCCCATGCCCATTAATTTTGGTTTTCTAGACCAGAGCCGTTATTTCCTTGAAATAGCTCCTCAATTATCCTCATGAGGCTGAGTGGACCTCATTCTAGACTCAATACTTCTCAGAAAATCTGGTAGCGGCAGGAATCAAACCTGGACCTCTGGATCTGTAGCCAGGAACTCTGACCACTAGACCACAGAAACGGTCATATATATCTATACGCATAAAACACAAATTAATCACAACCTTCTCACATAATCTACATGCATACAAAGAAGGCCATAAAATATGTTGGAAAGAAATGAAGGGCTTGCATATTGAAACAAACACCACATACAGGAAATATAAGGAATCCACCCACATGCCCCTGGTAGATCATCTGATCAGTCAACCCAGCTTGGACATCTCTCTCATCTGGATTTCCATTATTGCAGCCGAAGTTGTAAAACCAAAACTCCGTCCAGTGCAGATTATGTGAGATAGCTGTTTTAATGTTGGTACCATACAGAGAATTTGTCTCTTTAGTGATGGCTTATATTCTGAAAGTACACTGATTTTATAGGCACTAGCCATTAAATAATGCATGGACATAGGTGCTAGGCCCCATGTGTGTGGAGTTCTTTAATGTTTTTCATGCCTGGCTTAACTCTCGCTGATGATTGATGTGGTTGGTTTATATGTCCTAGCTTGTACTGGTGCTGGCGTTCAGATAGGGGCTAGCCCTATAAATTGGGCCGAGCTGAGTAGGTTTTTAGCCGAGGATGGAAACAGGTAAAATTATAGTTTTGTATATGTTGAGGATCAAATTTGGGGATTGAAAATTTAAGTCATTACCTAGGTGCCTGGAGACTTGCGAAAAGTGTTTTGCAGTGAAAGAGCAAAGATGACAACACATGGACACGCAATGAGGTTAAGAATGCGATAATCAGCATTCATGCGTAATACCGTATGCAAGACGCTCCGCTAACTAGGCCACTGGAGATGGTCATATGAGTAAATACACAGCGATAAGACGCAAGAGGTCCACCCCCAGCCACATAGAATA